TCTTCAGCTAATTCCTTAAATACATACAGTAGGTTACTTTTCAGGACAATATTGCTTAACATCCTTGCTTACATTGAGAAGTCTTTTTCCCCTTAGCTCTTCTGACTGGATTTTTCTACAAAAACTATGGAAAATGTCTTTGTTCTTGTTTGCTGCTATTTTCTGTCCTATTTTGAGAAATATAAATACATAGAAATGGTGCATCTTAACATTTGTTTGTACATGTATAAATGTCTTGTATTTTAATTCATTTTTAGCATGAATTGTTTAAGGGTAAGCCACAACATCTAGAAATCACTCATAGATACTGAACAATAAAGGAAAAATGGTACCGATGTAGGAGGAAGCAAGCGTTTCTTCCCCTGCAGCACACAGTGACTTGGCGTTGGCAGAGGAGGAGGAAACGATTAAACAAAGTTATCCTTATTTGGGAGATTGCCACAGCCTGCTGCTGAGTTGAGTTACTAGACATCCTCCATGTGAGAAGCAGCGAACATTGAATCTCAGGGATGGCCCACAACTGGGTCCACATGTCACGAGCCCTGTTTAATACCGAAGGGGTGGGGGAGAGCAATCCATCTACAGCCTGGAATCAGATTTGCAAAGGTTTCCTGCACTGCTGTCTGGCACTGTCCTGTTGATGCCCTTTCTGACTGTGTTCTGTTTTCTGTCTGCTGTCTAACCCTGTGCCTTGCCTGGGATAAGGACAATGATGAGGTTACTGGTTTGGATTGTAAGTAGAGGACTTTTATTATTTGGTTTAGAGGTTCACTGCTGCTTTGTCACTTTCTTAATCAAATTGGCCACTTATTTAAGAAATAAAAGCTGGTAGAATTGCATCCTCAGATGATTGACTGTGTGTGTGTGAAAACAGACATTCCAGTGCCACCCAAATACAACGTGCCCAAGAAATCTTAGCTGTGCTCTTAAGAGTGCCAGCCAGGGAAACTGGTTTAGACATCGTGCGGGGATGAGTTGCCTGTTGACGCGGCATCTTGCACTTTAGGAGACTAAGACCGTCCTGGTTCATCTATGTGTGGTGTGCCCAGAGCACTCCTCTCAGAATCACTCGTGTTAGCCAGTCGTCCCAAGCTGGGGAGCGCTCGCTATAGTCTTGGAAGCTTTGGCTTTAGATTTATTAAGCCCCATCTCCCCACTGCCAGTGCCCTGCTCTCCCGTTTGCCTCTTTCTGTTTCTGTGTGAACTTCCCAGTGATACCACTCGTTAGATTTTCTTTAAACTTATTTAAAGAAAAACTATTTAAAAGTAAAGGATATTTTGTTGACATTGGTGGCTTGATAATCCTTAAGCAACTGAAGTTAAAATTGTTGAAGGAAAAGGCACTTAAAATGGTTACTCTTTCTTGTCCAGCTGTATATAAGTCCAGTGTGTTCATTAATCTAGATGACTCAAAGAAGAATCTCCTGGTAGAGGAAGCGACATGTACAGAACTGGTGGAAAAAGGTTTTGGATTTTTTTTCCAGTGGGGTGGGGGGAGGGCAAGCTGGATTTACAGGTCATGGCTGGACTGAATGGGCCTTTTTATCTTCCCACTGTATCATGGAAGTAGCTGCTTTCTTGTCCAGCCTGTCCTTCAGGCATCCCTAAAGCTCATTTTGAAGACGCTAGAGGCAAACACAAACTCTTGGGAGTTCAAGCTGATCCCAACACTGACAGGAAGGCAAGCCTTGATTTCATATCAATGTTGCAGAGGTGGTAATTGAGAAAACAGATTGTAAGAGTTCACTGAAGATATTGACACAATTTTAAAAAATCAGTAAAGGAATGTATATAATATTGCTCTTGTGTTTTACAGTAAGATTTGTTGCTCTCAGACTGTGTAAAACAAAATTTATTCATGTTTTCTGCATATTAAAAAATCTTATTGTACCAATTGGTAAACTATTAAATGCCTATAAAACTAGATGTGATTTTTTCTTTGGATGTTCCTTTGCACAGGTGAAATCCTGATAGAAAATGGGGCTGTGCGTAGCACCCGTCAGAGTGTGGCACGAACTGGTGGCAGGGTGGCAGGGCCTGATGGGCTGTACCCAAACTGGCTTTGCTGTCCTCTTCTCCCAGGTTGAGGAGGGAGTGCCTCAGTGTGGGCCCTTGCCATGATGGGCGTCTGTGGCACAGGCCAGCTCTCCTCCACCTACCAGCAGCCCCAGTTCTGACAATAGCTGTCGCTGTGGCCAGAGAGCCAAAGCCAGGATGGCCGCTTTCAGGCCAAAGACTTGACACTTGTGGTCAGAGTCTACAGATAAGGGGCCCTCCCCATTTCCTCTGTGAGTGAGCCTCTTGCCCTGCTTAGTGGTCTTGGATTCATGAAGATTCCTTAATACTGTTACCAGTTTTGATTGAAACGTAGCAAAATAAGCACCAGAAAAGTTCATTTTTGTCCGAGAAACGCCAGCTCTCTGCCCTTCCCACGTGGCCATGACTTGTCTGTAGTGTATTCAGGGCCCCCCAGGATTCCCAGCCTGCCTTTGTGTACAAAGGACAGTTTGGTGATGTGCTGGCTTTTTTCTTACAGCCCAGCTGCTTTCTGGCCTCCTATTGGGAGTAGTAGCAAAAAATAAATCGGGGCCATGCACGGTGGCTCATCCCTGTAATCCCAGCCAACTTTGGGAGGCCGAGGTGGGCAGATCGCCTGAACTCAGGAGTTCGAGGCCAGCCTGGGCAACAAGGTGAAACCCCGTCTCTACTAAAAATACAAAAAATTATGCGGGTGTGGTGGTGGGCACCTGTGATCCCAGCTACTCGGGAGGCTGAGGCAGGGGAATTGCTTGAACCCAGGAGGCGGACCTTGCAATGAGCTGGGATTGTACCACTGCACTCTAGCCTGGGCAATAGAGTGAGACTGTCACAAAAAAAGAAATTGATCTGAAGTTAGTCTGCACTTTTGCAGTGTTTCCATTTCCTTGCAAGACTTCTCTTCCAGGCTGAGATCCAGATGACAGGGCCCCAGGGGCAGAGTTCCAGCATTAGTATCACTGTCCTGAAGTGCCATTAGCTACTCAAAACCTGGCAAGTAACTCAATGGCAGGTAACAGCATCCAACCTCCTTCCAGGAGTCATGACTATGTATGGCCTTTGATGTGAGTTTGTGTGGGGCGGGGGGTGGTACCTGGCTGTGGCAGCTCTGTTTTTCCCTGCCTAGTCTGGTGAAACCTAACATGTGCAGACATTTCTTAACTGCTGACATACCAGAAGCACTAGAACAGTGATCCTCAAAGTGTGTTTCCTGGGTCAGCAGCATCAGCATCACCGGGAGCTTCTTAGAGATGCAGGTCATAGGCCCTGCCTCTGACCCCCAAATTGAAAGGGTGCAGCTTGCTTGATTTAAAATCTATTTAACAATGACTGAGGTAGGCTGAGGTTTGAGAACCACTGAGCAAAATGATTCAACTTCTCACCAAAGAAACATGGGCACATCACTGGTGCCTTGGCCCCACAGCTGAGGTTTGGATCCAGATATTTCCTTTCATCCTCACTTTTATTTTTTGAAATGGAGTCTCACTGTCACCCAGGCTAGAGTGCAATGGCGCGGTCCCGGTTCACCGCAACCTCCACCTCCCAAGTTGAAGTGATTTTCCTGCCTCAGCCTCCCAACTAGTTGGAACTACAGGTGTGTGCCACCATGACCAGCTAATTTTTGTATTTTTTATTTTCTCTGTCACCCAGGCTGGAGTGCAGTGGCATAGCCGCGGCTCATTGCAACCTCTGCCTCCCCAGTTCAAGTGATTCTCCTGCCTCAGCCTCCCAAGTAGCTGGGATTACAGGTGCCCACCACCACACCTGGCTAATTTTTGTAATTTTAGTAGAGATGGGGTTTCACCAAGTTGGCCAGGCTGGTTTCGAACTGCTGACCTCAGGTGATCTGCCAGCCAGCCCCAGCCTCCCAAAATGCTGGGATTACAGGCGTGAGCCACCGCGCCCGGCCTGGGATACTACTGTTGAAACCTGTCACCCAAAAGAAGTGAAGGAGAAAGAGTGGATTTCACACCTAGAGCCTCCATTTGGTTTATGAAAACAGCCCCTAGTCATTTGGGTCAAAAACTGACCGCGCTAATACACTGAAAGGACCAGCCAGGAAATACAGGCCTCTCAGGTGACAGGCACAATGGTAATTAAGCACATTCCATTCTCAGCTTCTCTGGAGGCCGTATTTTGAGAGGTGCATGAACTGTGTGGCCCCAGTTCATGGCACTCAGGAGAAAGCATTTAGGACACACCAGTGAGACTGCAGAGGAAGCTGTGGTGGTGGTGGGGCTGGGGCTGGTGGGATGCACGAGAGGTCTCTGTAGCAGGCCACTCACGCATGACTGTCCTTGGGTGTCACCTAAAACCACCAGGTCAGAAGCATGTTTTCTCCAGTTGGCTCAGGAAAACTAACAGACTTAGGGTTGGAACTTTTTTCTTTTTAGAATTTCCATGATCTCTGAGCATCACAAAAGGCATTTGTTCTTGGTGAGGCTGAGGGATGGCAAGCAGTGGCCAGCAGCTGCGCTGAGCGTTAAACTACCCTCTAGAGAGAGGCCACCTCCACATGCCCGACATCGAAGGCTCTGCCCCTCCAGTCCACCTGGCTCTCAGCTCTCTAAATCCTGCTTGAGGCCCTCTTTCTGCCTCAGTGTCTCACCTCTGAGGAATGCTGCCCACCTTCCTACCTCAAGTGAAGGGACGTGGATAGGTGCCTAACCAAGGGGGCGTCCAGTGACCTCACAGGCCCAGCATGCATACAGGGCCTGGCCTCACAGCTTAGTGCCCCTCCCCACCTGGCCTTCACTGTGTATTTTTCTGTGCCCAATGACAGGCGACATTCGCCCGCCGAACACTATAGACTGGCAGCTAGATGAATTCCAGCTGAGTGCCTGTGACTCCACCCCCTCAACTGCAAGGATGATCTTGAACTTGACCTCATATCTCCCCATAATTCCTGGCAGCCCTCACCATTCACCCAGACCGGGTTACAGAACACACAGGTGAGGCTGGGCTGCAGGTTTCAAAAACTCACTTTATTCCAATGTGAAATGAAGACGTGATGGTTTAAAAACAAGAAAAAGTTCTTGCTCAGCAGTGGGGATGGTTTGCTTGCTCACGCCACCCCCTTTGAAACAAGGTGTCTGAACATGCCACACCCACAAGCAGCTCTCCGCAAAGCCCTAGGCAGCCGCCTGACCCACCGGCTCTTGGGGTAGCCACCTCCTCCCCCATCAGGGCTCTGATAGCAGGCACAAAGCAGCACAGGTGTGTGTGGGGGGGAGCAGCGGGACCTGTGGAGGCCCTGCACCCCCAGAGCTAATCTTGGACCAGGAAGGGAGCTGGGCTCCAAAGAGGTGACATCACACCTGCACCTGTTATTTTCCCCGGGATCCATAATTCGGCACTGCTCCCCCAGCCCTGTCCCCCATCCCACTGTGCATTAGGCAGCTCAGGTTGAAACGGGGAGAGGGATACATTCAGACTGGAGTCCCCAAGGCTATGCCCAGATGGGTACAGGGAGAAGGGAGGCAACTCAGGGCCTGTGGCAGTGCCTCTCGCTGGGCTTGAGGGCAGACAGGCCAGGGCCGGGCACGCAGGCTCTGAGAGCCCCGAACATCCAACCCCAACCCCTTCACCCAGGAGCTACAGCCAGACCAGGCCAATCACAACTACCACAGCCCTTCAGCTTCCATCCTGCCCCACATTAAAGTGCACCCCAACCCTCCAGGCCTGCCACAGAGCTCTGGCCCCCCATCCCAGGACACAGGAAAGCCCCCTCTGCCATTTTTTGACTTAAAACCTGGACTTTCAATTTGGGCGGGGGGTAGTGGCAGCAAAAGCAGCAGCCATAATGTCAACCACACAAATGACCTGAGAAATTCCACCTTTGCGCCACCCGCTCCAGACAACTTGGGCTCTGTACAGGGGAGAGGGATGGACCGACACTCACAGCCACACCCTGCTGGAGGGTGAAGACTGAGGAACACCTGCCCCAGCTGGGAACGGAGGGCCGTGCACGCCATTCACCTGTCTTCAATTGGGCCTCTTAATCATGTACTAATTGAACCGGTGTAAAAACACCGTTTTCGGGGGCAGGCAGGCCAGGCCAAGGTCCCAGGAGGACACAGGGGTGGGGTGGGGTGAAATGCGGAAGAGAGCCTTGCCTCCTCTTCCAATCACAGGCACGCCCCCTGCTCCTGGTGTCTGGCTTGCTGGCGCCGCTGGCTGACTGTCCATCTGTCTCTCCCTCTATCCCTGCACGCTTGGAGAAGGGTCCTTGGCTGCCTGGGGCTCGGAGCCCAGGTCTTCTGGGCCACCTGAGGGCTCAGGCTCAGGCTCAGGCTCGGTGGCCATGGGCTCCTCGGCCTTATCCCTGTTTCTGCTGGCCTCCTGGAGCTGGTGCCGCCTTGCCACCTCAGCTTTCAGATTTTCCAAGTCTTTTTGGCTGAGGAGAAGAGTAGGGGTGGAGGTAGGTCTCACAGGGCACCTGCACGCACCACCATCCTCCAGCTAGCCCTTGGGACAAGCTCAGGCTCTGTGCTCTATTCAGTGGGAAATGTGTGTGGAACAAGCACTTCCCTGCTGAAGGCGGAAACATCCCTGGACATGGAGAAGGCAAGGACCCTGCACCTGACCTGGCCCCGGGCCTCCCTCACTCAATTCCAGCCACTGCCCTCTGTGGTCTCCCACCAGAGTAGGTGAAAGAAAGCGGAGTGGGGGATTGGGGGGGTGCTGCTCCCATGCCTTGCTGGCCAAATCCGCTCCCCACACGAGGCTGGGGAGCCCTGGGCCTGCTCCTCAGGCCCACCCAGCTGCGGAATGGGAGGTGGCGGGGAAGGAACGAGGCTGTTCCTCAGGTACTGAGAGGAAAGATGCCAAGATACATTGTTGTGTGAAGCAGAAACACCAAGTCTTCACACGTGCGTGCAAGGATGCTGAGTAAAATAAGTGGGGGCAGCGTGTGCAGATCACGTGGATATTTCCATAAGGATTCTCCGGTATCTGCTCCTCAGCGGCTACCCCTTTCAATTCTCAGCCACAACAATGTATGACTTCTTTTAGAAACAACCAGGGTGGCCAGGCACGGTGGCTCACGCTTGTCATCCCAGCACTACAGGAGGCGGAGGCAGGCGGATCACCTGAGGTCAGGAGTTCAAGACTAGCCTGGCAAACAGTGAAATCCCGTCTCTACTAAAAATTAGCCAGGCATGGTGGTGTGCACCTGTAATCCCAGCTACTCAGGAGGCTGAGGCAAAAGAATCATTTGAACCCAGGAGGTGGAGGTTGCAGTGAGCTGAGATCGCACCACTGTACTTCGGCCTTGGCAACAGAGTTGAGACTGTCTCAAAAAAAATAAGCAGGGGGAGGCGTCTGAGGGGGGCCTCACCTGAGAGGAATGAAGAGGATGCCGTTGATGACATTCAGCTGCTCCAAGACACTGGCCAGGCTGGGGGCTGTGAACTGTGGGGCGGGGACGAGCTGTGAGCGGAGTTCCGCCCGCCCCCCCCCCCCCGCCCCGCCCCGCCCCGGGCAGCAGAGGCCGCTCCGCCCCAGACTCACCTTGAGTGGCGGGATGTTGGCGCTGGAGCCGTTGCGGTAGATCTCGTTCATGGTACGCTGCAGAGCCACTGCCTGCTGGGTCAGGCACTTGAGGTACTCGGAGCTCTCCTTGGTCTTCTCATGGTCCTCGCCCAGCTGCGGGAAAGGGGCAGAGGCCTATGGCCCCGGCTGCCCGCAAGCCGCGCTCCCGCCCCCGCCGCAGCCCCGCCCCCCGCTCCCCGCTCCCCGCCCCGCCGCTGCGCACCTGCGTCTTGTAGATGGTGTAGCCCTCCTTCTCGTGCTGCAGAGCCGACCGGAACTCAGCTTTACTCTCGTAGACTCGAGCAACAAGGTGGTGGCTACCGGGAGGCATGGGGCGGGGCGGGGCGGGGCGGGGGAAGGGTATAGTTCGCTGGGTGTGGGGGCCTGACTAGGGGCTCGGAGTCTCTCCTCTAGATCCCTCCCTGGAAGCCACTGAGGGGAACTTTAAGTCCAATGAAGTCTCAGAGAAGAGGGCAGGATAGGGCGGTGGAAGTCGAGAGAAATTGTCTCGGGTGTCAGCCTCAGAGGAAGACAGAGCCCTGGGCCTCTTCCCTGCCCCCACCGGGTGCCCCACCAGCCTATGTGGGCCTGGGTGTTTGCTCCGAGCAGCCCCTCACCTGAGGGCCACCTTGAGGGCCTTGGGCCCGTGGTACTTGGTGCTCACGGCCAGTGCGTTCTCCAGGAAGCGCAGGGACAGGTCGTACTCCATGACCCCGTGCAGCACCAGCCCGATGTTGTTCTAGGGGCAGGCGGGGCTAGTCAGCTCCCCATCCCCAGTGACACAGGTGGGTCCCTACCATGCCACCCCCCCCAACCCCCCTCCCACCCGCACTCACATCCAGCAGCGCCATCTCGGGGTGGTCTTCGCCGAACACCAGCAGCATGAGGTAGCGGGCACGGTACAGCAGGCTCAGGGAGGTGGACAGCTGGCTGCTGGCAAAGCAGTACAGGGCCAGGTGCATCTGCGGGCAGGGCCGAGGCAGGTCAGGGTGGCTGCCAACCCCAGCCCCTTGCAGACCCGGCCCAGGCGGCACTCACGTATTCCTGGATGGTGTTGGGGTGCTCAATGCCCATTACCCGCTCGCTCATCAGCACTGCCTTCTGCTGGTTACTCAGGGCCTGGGGAGAGATAGTGGTGATTGCTGTGGGGTGGGAACCCCACGGCACCTAGAGCCCACCTGGCTCTGGCCCAGCAGCGCATATGGCGCTACTCTAGGTGCACCTGTCCTCTCCGGCAGCACTCGGGCTCTGATTCTTACACAAGGTAGCCACACCAAGGTCACGCCCCATAGAGAGCTCCACACACACCTGCGGTCTTATGCCCAACAAAATCTCCACTAATACACAAATACACACCTAAAACTACTAAAAACGTTAGCCAAAAAAAGCCCAAGGCTGAGTGGGCAGGGTGACTTGAGGTCAGGAGTTCAAGACCAGCCTGGCCAACATGGGGAAACCCTGTCTACTAAAAATACAGCCGGCACGGTGGCACATGCCTGTAGTCCCAGCTACTTGGGAGGCTGAGGTGGAGGCTGCAGGGAGTGGATATCACACCACTGCACTCCAGCCTGGGCGGCAAAGCGAGACCTGTTACCAAAAAAAAAAAAAATTATAAACAAAAGAAGAAAATGCCTCTGATTGCAGGGAGAGTGGGGAGCCTAAAACAGGCTGACCCTGAAACAGCCTCTGCAAGCCCCAGACAGGCAGGGCACCCAGATCCACACCCCAGCACAGGGCACAGAGGCCGAGGCAGCTCAGGCAGGGCACTCACAGCCTTGCACAGGGCAGAGGCCTTGGAAGCTTGGTGGCTCTCTTCCTTTCCACTCACGGGGTCTCAGGGGGCATCCTAGCTGACACCCCATGGAGGGTCCTGCCATCGTCACAGAAGCGACCTCGCCACAGCACCAGGGCTCCCACACAATCCCCAGGACAGTTACAGAGGGGTGGAGCCAGAGCGGCCTGGGCAGAATGAGTGATGGCCTATTCTCCCTGGTCTCCCCTAACTCCTCCACCCAGGGCCCCAAGGTGAGCAGCCTCCAAGCCCTGTCACTCTCCATCACCCCCAACATGAGGCCAGGCCTTTGCTGCCATAGCTGGCCGGTGCCAGAGGCCCACCTCTGCGTAGTCACCCATGATGTAGTGCAGGCGGGCGAGGAGGCGCAGGCAGGCGCAGGTCTCCACGTGCATGGCTCCATAGACGTTGTTGAACAGGTTCAGGGCCTCGTTGATGAGCTCACAGCCCTCCTTCAGGAAGCCTGCAAGGCACCCCCGTGGTGGAGGTCAGGACGGGCCGTGGGGAGTCCCCCTCCGCCCAGTCCCGCCCGGCCACACACCCTGCTGCACTTTGGCCTGCCCGCTCTGGAAGAAATGGAAGGCGTCTGAGGCCTTGGGGTTGACATGCTTGACCACGGGGAAGATGTTGAGCACGTCCTCCTCGGTGAACGTGGGCTTGTGGCGACTGTCGAAGCTGTATTCCTTCAGCAGGACCTGGGGGCAGCCCCACACCCACAGGAAGCCTCAGCCCCAGGCCGAGGGCTGGCCCTCCCAACCCAGCAACACTTGTGTACAGATGACTACTATGAAAAAGCTGGCTGGGCACGGTGGCTCACGCCTGTAATCCCAGCACTTTGGGAGGCCGAGGCGGGTGGATCACGAGGTCAAGAGATCGAGACCATCCTGGTCAACATGGTGAAATCCCGTCTCTACTAAAAATACAAAAAATTAGCTGGGCATGGTGGCGCGTGCCTGTAATCCCAGCTACTCAGGAGGCTGAGGCAGGAGAAATGCCTGAACCCAGGAGGCAGAGGTTGCGGTGAGCCGAAATTGCGCCATTGCACTCCAGCCTGGGTAACAAGAGCGAAACCCCCGTCTCAAAAAAAAAAAAGAAAAAGCCACCTCCCTGTGGCCCCGCTGGGGCATGGAAGCCCGCAGCAGGGACACTGAGCTGCGCCCACCTGGATCCCTGTTTTCAGCGAGATCTCCCGCAGGAGTGTGATCTTCTGCAGGCCATACGTCTCCACAGCCTGGTCCACGGTCTCACTGCGGAGAAAGCAGCAGGCCTGAGCAGCTCTGCACTGCTAGGCCCCCTTCATCCTCCAGCACCCAGTCATCTCCACAGCTGCTCCCTCTTCTCTCCTCCCACTCCCTGGAATAAGACCACAGGCCCTAGCTGCCATCAGGAAGTTGGTGGTGGCCGCCTCATCTGCCCCGTCCCAGGCACCCACCACCCCTGCCCTGTACAGCCACACACACGCACCACTCGAGGCTGAAGTCAAAGTAGTTCTTGGCCTCCTGGCAGATGTTCCTCCAGAGCTCCTGGGGGGTCATGACAGCCCAGGCTGTGTTATCTGAAGCCCCTGGGGGCCGGTTTTTCCTCCGCTTACTTCTTTTCTTGGAGACCAGCTCATCGGCTGGCAGGTGGGCCACAGGGTTGGGGTAGGAGCTCAGGAAGCAGTTCAGGAAGTGGCTGATGGCAGCTGAGAGGCCAGAGAGCTCAACTCCCTGTAAGGCACGGTTTCATCCACGTCAGGAGGGCCCTCAGCCCAGCTCAGGCTCCTTCCCAACGCCCCACACCTCCCTGGGAGGCCACGGCCAGCTACAGAGCAGACAGGTGGCACCTGTAAGTACGTCTTGAAGATGTGCTTGGCAGAGCGGGTGATGAGCTCTCCAATGCCGATTTTCTGGAGGGATCAGAAGGGAGGTCTTGGTCAGGTCCCAGCCTCCATCCCCACCCCACAGCTCCGGTTCCACCCACTCATGTGCACTCACATAGATGTGGTCCAGCTGCTGGCGGGCCGGGCTACGCAGTACCAGCTCCAGCACCTTGCCCAGGTAGCGCATGTTGATGCCACGCTGGCGCATCACCTCAGCCAGCGTCGCCCCGTCCATGGGCAGCACTGCATGCTCCGTGCAGTCCTTCACCTGCGGGCTGCAACCGGTCAGGCCCCACCCGGCTCCTCTGCCTCCACTCAACTGTGTCTTTCTGGGGGAACACAGCTACCCTGGGAGGCCCTGGAGACGGACCCCTAAGGCCCCAGCTCCCAGTCAGGAGAGGGGCAGCCAGGACGTGGGAACATGTGAAAGAGGCAGGGTGAGAAGAACACAAGCCAAGAACCAGGAGGCCGGTGGTGGCACAGGCCCCCCAGACGGCAAGGGAGGAGCAGAGGTGTCCTCTTGGGAACACTACTTGACCCCCAGCCCCATGTCCCAAGGCTTGGAGGTGCCACAGCCTGAGCTGTGGCCACAGCGTTGGTGGCAGCACCCAGCATCCCTGGGACTGGCACAGAGCCTGCGGGGGGAGGAGGATGGGCAGCCTCACTGAGCTGCCCCCCACACCCCAGCCCTGCCACCACCCAGGCCTCAGAGGACCAGATCTCCAGCTGCCAGACCACCTGGTGGGCTCAGCAGGGCCTGTGCCCTTGACCACTGGGGGGTCAGGTTCCCCATTGGTAAACAGGGATGCCCACTCAGAGACAGCTGAAAAAGTCCCTGCTGTGAAGAGTCCACTGGCCTCCAAGTCAGAGCTGGATGAGGGACCAGCACCCTCGACGCAAGCCCCGCCCAGCCCCGCGCCCTGCCCCTCACCAAGCCAGGGATCTGGCAGGAGAGCAGGAAGGCAGCTGCATCCTTCAGCAGCTGCTTCTGGTCCCGAACTTCATCTTGGCAGGACTCAGGGAAGCGAACCCCTGGAGGAGGGAGAGCAGAGAGGCTGAGCCAGGTGGTGGCAGGACAAACAGCGCCTGGGCTCTCAGGGAAGTGCTCAGATGGGGGACAAGCCCAGAGGTGCCCAGGGCCCAGAACCCCCAGTGAAGGTCCAGCATGGAAGGCTCCTGTGCGGCCGGCCCGCCACCTGCCTGGTGAGAAGATGTCAGGGTTGAAGCGAATGTCGAAGGCTGTGCTGCTGATGGAGCCGACTGCCTTGCATGCGTTGCGGATCACCTCCCGGCTCCGAGGGTCTGCTGTGGACATGTGGCTCAATGAGAGGCGGCCCCAATCTGCCATGGTACAGCTGCGCTGCCCCAAGCCACACCCTGAGCTCCTCACAGAGTTGGCAGCCAGCCTCTTCCAGGTGGGGCCATGAGTCACCCGGCAAGGACCAGTTGGCAGGGCCAGCCCCGGCTCTCCCCACAGCCACAGCAGCCCCACCTGTGCCGTCATCTGCAGCGATGGTCTCTGCCAGCTCCTTCACCTTGGCTAGGCCGCTGGCGCTGCTGCCCTCCTCCTCACTTCCCGCCTCCATTCTGGGGGGGTCCTCAGGCTTGGACTCCATGGAGGAAGGACCACCATTTTCCAGGGAGGAGGGGGTCTGCAGCTGGCTGGCTTTCTGCTGCATCAGCTGCAGGGCAGCCAACTTCATAAAGAGGAGGTACCTGGAGCAGAGCAGACAGGAGGTGGGACACGGGGAGGGAAGCTCTGCTGGCTGCAGGCTCCCAGCCGGCTGGGGCTCCACACCCGAAGGCCCGGGGCACCCCCTGCTTGGCCTGTACTATCAATGCAGAAAACCCAAGATCTCCCGAGACAGGAAGAAGAGGGCTGGGTGATTCGAGGGACGGGAAGAGAGGGGCTCCCCATCCAGGTCAGGGCCCGCAACAGTGACAGGAAGCCACTGGCATTAGAGAGAGTGTAACTTGTGCTGTGGGACATTTGACATGGCCATTTCCCAAGCATTAAACACCAGCGGCAGGGACACCCAGCCCCACCTGTCCCCCCAGGCACTGGGACATTTACAGCCACCCAGACTTCCCAATGCTCCTTAAGAGAACAGTGCTGCTTCAGCTGGGCCACCGGCCTGGCTGCTCCAGAGTCTGTGGCCAATATAAAGCCCGATTTCTGCACTCAGGAGCCCAACAGCAGGGCAGGTGGGGACAGGTCTCTAATGACTGTGGCCAGGCTGAGCTCTTCACCCTCCAGAGTGTCTCCCTCCAAGGACCCAGCCCCAGCCCCACCCAGGGTGCCCGTGCTCCCCACAGCTGGCCCAGCCCTGTCCAGCAGGGCTGCCCCTCACCTGTGCTCCACGAAGGCGTCCACCAGCTCCTGGCGCAGGCAGCAGAGCTTGTGGCGGTGGGTGCGGGGGAAGCCAGCACGGGTGCACTCCTCCGGCAGCTCCTCACCAGGCACGGGCAGGAAGTTGAGGTCAGGCGGAAAGGTGCGCAGCAGGTCGAGGATGTAGTGGCGCCCGTCGTTGCCGATGATGCCCTTGCACTCCACCGAGGAGCAGAGCTCCACCTCTTCGTCTCGGTCGTTGAGCACTCGGTGCCGCAGGATCTTGAGGGGCCGACTCGTGCGTTCCAGCAGCTCCAGGTACCGTGGGTGAGACACCACAGTCTTGCCGAAGTCAATGGAGCCATAGATGACACTCTGCTCCTGATCCCGCTCCAGAATGCCGGGGATGATGGACTGGGCCGTGACGCGGTAGCCGCGGTAATCCACCACCACCGTGCCCAGCGTGTAGAGCCCCTCCACGTCCACCACGTTGTACGTGCGGACGCCGTTCAGGTCGTTGGTGGGTGCCACGTAGGCGGCGACGTCCCCACCAAAGTCCTTGTAGTGGTCACGCACGTCGAAGCCCAGGCTGAAGAAGATGTTGTTCCAGATGAACATCTGCATCTTGGTCTCCTCGCTAGGGTTGATGGCCATCACGTTGCCGTCGATGACCGCCATGGCGCCCCTCGTGGCTGCCGCAGTGAAGTCGCTGTGTACCTGGGAGGGGCCGGGGAGGAAGGGAGGGTAAGAGGCCCCACCCACAAGAGCCTCAAGCTACAGCCCCCTGGCCAAGCTCACCTAGATGTAGGTGGAAACCAGGTCTGCCTTGGGAACCCAGGGACCCAAAGCCTCCATCTCCTCATATGTAGAAAAGGGCAAGAAAACCATGTTTTGTCTGGGCGCTGTGGCTCACGCCTGTAATCTCAGCATTTTGGGAAGCCCACCTGGGCGGATCACCTGAGGTCAGGAGTTTGAGACCAGCCCAGCCAACATGGTTAAACCGTCTCTAAAATTGGCTGGGCGTGGTGGTGGGTGCCTCTAGTCCCACCTACTCAGGAGGCTGAGGCAGGAGAACCACTTGAACCAGGGAGGCAGAGGTTGCAGTGAGCCGAGATCCCACCACTGCACTCCAGCCTAGGTGACAGAGTAAGATTCCATCTAAAAAAAATAAAAAATAAAGAACAAACACCATGTTTTGAAGGCACACTTGTTCCTGGGAGACAGCAGTGTAGTGATTAACAGGAGTGTGAGCCTGAACAGATAAAGCTCTCAGGCTCGTTTTCTCACCTAGGAACAGTGGTGGTAAAGGTACAAGCTGTCCAAACGTTTATAGGAAATGATGCCTATAAAGCACTTGGTACCGTCTCTGGTGAAGTCAGTACCCGGAAAATTCGTTTTCGTTTCTACCATTATCTTCTCTAGGCAGTAAAATGATGGAAGGTGGTGGTGGTGGTTTGAGACAGGGCCTCACTCTGCTGTCCAGGCTGGAGTGCAGTGGTGCGATCTGAGCTCACGGAAGCCTCGACCTCTCCTGGCTCAGGCAATCCCCCCACTCCAGCCTCCTGAATAGCTGGGACTACAGGTACATGCCACCATGCCCAGCTAAGCTTTAGTATTTTTTGCAGAGATGGAGTTTCACCATGTTGCCCAGGCTGGTTTCCAACACCTGGGCTCAAATGATCTGCCTGCCTCAGCCTCCCAAAGTGCTGGGATTATAGGCGGGAGCCACTGTGCCTGGCTGAGATTTTTATTTTAAAGCAACTACTTTTCCTCATTTATCTTAGCAACAGCACTAATAACTTTTAAATACCGCCAAGTTAAAATTGTTATGCAAATGATCTCCCACCCCAGAAGGGCCTCGGTTGGCCAGTGCTTGCCCAGGCAAAAGCCTCAGGGGAGCCAGTGGAGGAGGGTGGGAATCTGGGTAGCCCTGGACACTCAGTCTGTACTGGAAGTAGGGCCCGCTCTTCCCGGGGACTCAAAGCCTCAGAGACTAGCGAAAGGCACTGGGATGTTCTGCTGGGAGGCAGAAGGCTAGCAGACCCTGTGGGAGAGCTCCCGGCCTGGGGAGAGCTGACGGGGTTGGGGCTGCCCCAGCCTCCTCGCTTTACTCCTGTCCATGAGGAAACCCGTCAGCAGGCGGCCAGTGGGCCTGAGACTGGCAGATAGCAGAGGTTGCAGGCACCTTAAAGATGGCTCTCTCTCGAAGCAGCCGCTCAGGCAGGTTCTTGCGAGGCAGCTCCCTCGTCGTCTGAAGCTCCTCGTTCCAATCTCGGGTCTGCCGAGAGACCAGGGAGGGAGGTGCGAGCTCAGCCTGTGTCCTGCGACCTGCTCTGGGAAGTCCCTTCCTCCACCTCCCTGAGAAGAGCCCCAGATTCCCAAATGAACAGTCAAGCATGGAGCCTCCTGGGAGGCGCACAGAACCCAGCCCAGCACCAGGAGGGCGGGGCCAGGCCGCAGGCACCTGTCCAGGAATGTGCTCCTCGTAGCCCAGCCTCGAGGTGTAGGCGTCCTCTGCACGCACGCAATCCATGGCATGCTCCGCCTGGGGCGCCGTCCAGCTGTACACCTGGAAGGGGGTGGCGATCCTCTCGAACGGGTGGCGCTGGACCCTGTGGCAGGCAGGGGAGGGGGAGATGGGGCAGCCCACCAAGCTCAGGGCCCTTCCATGGACCCCTTTTCTGAGGCCCCCACCTGTTCTGCCGTCTCCCTGCCCCAAGTCAGCCAGAAGCACACGGCGCCTCTCCCACAGCTGCTGACCCGGTGCTGGCTGACAGCTCCCTAGAAGGGGGTTAGAACACTGGGGACCCAGGCTGTCTCTTCAGGAAGAAGCAATGGCGTGTGGGGATGGCTCATCAGTGCCCTGGCGACCACGAGACGAGGCGGGACGGGTGAAGACACTACCTTTTCTTCTGCAGCACCGCAAAGTTCTTCTTGAAGGTGGGGCTGATCTGGTTGAGCAGCTCCACGAGGGAATGGCTCAGGAAGCGGGGACTGGCGGGCTTGGGGTTGAAGTGATAAGCTGTAGACCTGTGGGGAGGGTGGGCACTGAGCGGGGGCCCAGAACAGCAGGCACAGAGGGGCACGTTGCAGCTGGCAAGGACTCACTGATTCAGGTAGAAGCCCCGCGTGGATGCGGTGATGCTGACTTGCCGGTCCTCGGCCGTGATCACGAACAGGTACATGAGGTCCCCGTGCATCTTTCGGTTCCCTGGTGGTGGGTTCCAGCCACTCATGGTGAGCACCTTCAGGCACTGCAGGGGCTGTGGGAGTGGCTGAGCGTGAGGGGCCAGGCCTCTGGTGTGGGGCCTCCACCCCGCCAGGGACCCTCTTCCTCACTCCCTGGGAAGCCTACCTTCCAGTCCCGATTTTGGGGCTGCAGGGGACACAGTGGCCGCTCCCGGCTCCCTGGCAGGATGTACTCGGGCGGTGTGCAGTCGATGGGGTCCATCTCCAGGCCCTTCTTCCGCTTCCCACTGTCTGAAGGACCCAAGGCTGGTGGTCAGCACAAGGCCATCCAGGGCCGTCTGCACGTGGGCCTGGTCTGGGTGGCTCAGGCCCAGACCCCTCAGCCCCCACCTCCATGTCCCTGCCCCGGCCCACTCCCCAGCCCCAATGCCTCCCGTACCTCCCAGGTCACCATCAGTGAAGACGCTGAGGAAGGATAAGGAGTTGCAGTCCACCCCATTGAAGGCGTCAGATGGGTCCAGGCTCTTGAGAAGGTCACGGACGTGGCGCACGTGGATTCGGGCCTCTCGCACTGTGTATGGCTCTGTCAGGAGAGTAGGTGAGGGGCTGGCGTTACCAGGGCCTCACCCTCCAGATCCTGCTCAGCACAAAACACTGTTCAGGGGCTAACACTTCCATTTTCAGATTCCTTATGTGAACACGTAAGTTGGGAGTTCTGGTTTACAACACACACACACACACACACACACACACGCTCTCTACTGGTGAGCAGGGATCTTTGTTCATCAAGAACTTTCCACCAAATCCCTCAAAGCACACAGAGGTCCTGGGAGTCCGCCTGCTTCTGCTGTCGGGTGAGCAGGGCTTCCAGAGCTCCGGCGCCTCCGCTCCTTGCCCTGCTCTCCTGAGGCAGCCCTCATGCAGTGCTGGCCTGGGACTTCCCAAGGCCCCCAACTGCAACCCTGCCTCCGTGTGGCTTTCATGGCATTCTAAGCACAGTTCTTTTAGAGGAGGGGAGAGGTTCTGTGGTCAGCTGTCGGCACTGTTGAGCTATGGACTGTTCCCACCACTGCTCTTAGCAAGCGGACAGGCCCTGGGTGGGGAACCTGAGTGGCTTCTCCCCAGAGAACTTGAGTCTGCAGACCAAGCGGATAGCCCCTCACTGCGCCTGAGCTCCCACTCTAGGGACTTCTCATTTATCTGTATGGAACCGGACTGGGCTGACCTCAAGCCCTGGCATGGTACTGCCTATTTTTTTTTTAGAATCACAACTCTGTCTTTTTTCTTTTGAGATGGAGTTTCGCTCTTGTTGCCCAGGCTGGAGTGAGTGCAGTGGCACAATCTGGGGTCCCTGCAACGGCCGCCTCCCAGGTTCAAGCAATTCTCCTACCTCAGCCTCCTAAGTAGATGGGATTACAGGCACGCACCACTATGCCCCACTAATTTTTTCAATTTTTAGTAAAGATGGGGTTTCACCATGTTGGCCAGGCTGGTCTGGAACTCCCGACCTCAGGTGATCCACCTGACTCAGCCTCCCAAACTGCTGGGATTCCAGACGTGAGCCCCCTGCGCCCGGCCCACAGCCCTCTTCTTTAACCCATGAGCCAGGTGTGGAGGGTACAGGTGTGACGGCCTGAGAAGAGACCTGTGCTCCCATCCTGCCTCCCTGAGCTCATGTGTGACACAGGGACCCTGGCGGGGGCGTGCTGCCTGCTTCTGCCTCCGGGGGCCCTCCCCTAGGCAGGCTGCCCAACTTGCAAACCGACCTTCCACCACACGCAGCACAGAGCCCTCTTGCAGCCCCTCAACGCTGCGCAGCTCAGAGAAGTGGTCCAGCATGTTGCCATCCAGGTGCAGCGAGAAGCAGGTGCGGTGACACGTGTCTTCCCGGTCCATGAGCACCTGGTGGATCTCCTGCACCATCTCCTGGGGGGACACCTGCCGGGAGAAGCCCCAACCACCCAGGTGAGAGGTCACATAGTGGAGAGCACGGATGATACCCTCATCCCCAGCCCAAGGTACCTTGGTCCCCAAATACTCGGTATCCCCACTTTCTGGCTTTTAAATCCCAGGCTGTGTCCACACATGCCACGCCCTGTGTGTGTGCAGCCTGGAGCCTGCCCACGCCGGCTAGGCCTGCAGACCAAGAGCAATCCCCAAGCAGCAAAAGGGAGATGGAAGAACGGCAGCCTTGCCTCCAACCTTGCCCAGTGCTCAGGGTCCTGGGGAAGATGGCTTTCACCTTCCAGAAGGGGTGCTCCTGGGCCCAAGCCTGTGGGTGTGGAGGACATACAACGGCCCTGCCTTGTTCCTCACCGAGTCACCAGCTTGCAAGACCTCCACGCTGGCTCTGCCCTTGGAGACTACCCAACACCGTCCTCCTCTCTGGCAGATGGTAAAATCACAGCCCAGAGAGAGGTGACTTGCCCGAGGGCACAGAGCAAGAGGCTGGGGAGTCCTGGGATGCCAGCACACCCTGGCCACATCACTCCCCCCACAGGCCTGACAGGCCCAGCTGGTTGCTGTCCTCTAGCAGTGGGCAATGACCTGACCCTGGACTCAATTCCCACGTCCACCACACTAGCTGAGTGGCTCTGGGCAGGAAAAGGATCCTCAGTCTCCGGCCACAAAGTAGGGCTGGGAGACACACAGGCAAAGCTCAGCTTTCCAGCTCGTCCTCCCAGTGGGCTTGGGTCTGGTACACAGCACTCTTCCTCCGTCTTACCTGCAGGGAGAAGGGCTCAATCCCGGGGACCAGGATCTTCACGGAAAAACCCGTGTCCTGAATGACAATGACTTCCTGGCCGGTGGTCTCATCTCCTGGCTCGGCCTCTTCCAGCCCGTTTTCCCTGGGCGGCTCAGCCACCCCCTCCTTCTCCAGGCTCTCCGGACAGTCCCCATTCAGCAGCATGACTGACGGCAGCTCTGTGAGTGACAAGTGCAGGACAGAATCAGGCGGCCTGGCTGGTGGGGGCGTCCCCCTGACCCCACTCAGGGGCACATGCCTCACGGAAGGGCATGTGCATCCCTCCCAAGCCTCAGCCGCACCGTCCTGCCTTGCCCTCCACACACCTGCAGGCCACTCACAGCCTTCCCACTTCCATGTCCCGCCGCCCTCCCCAGCCACTGCCCTGGCTCACTGTGGTACAGCTTGCACCTGAGCACGCTGCCCAAACCACTCCCTAGGGGCACCAAAGCCGCCCTCAGGCCAGGCCCAAGGGCTCCCAGCCCCAGCACACCTGGCTGCCCAGCAGCATCCCGCTCGCTCCCTTTCCTCTTCTCCGACGGCACCCTGGCACTGGCCCTCCCCCTCCCCCTCCATCTCCATCTCCATCTCCTCCATCCCTCCTGAGCTGTGGGCCCTGCGTCTCCCGCTTCCCTCACCCTCTCCCATGCCTTCAAATACACTCCTGCCTCTTGGCTCACACAGCCAAGCCTGTCCTCTCTCAGGCGGTCTGGACCAGGGAGACGGCCGCCTCCCAGCAGCCACACCCTTAGGCCTCACTCAAGACGGGTATTGCAGGGACAGAACCTGCCTTCCTGCTCAAACCAGCGCCTGCTCTGAGGCCCCCACCCTCTATCTAGTCACCCACCCTGAATCTCCCAACCCCCGGGACCCATTCCCTGCAGCCCCTGCCGGCCAGGCCCTCCCTCAGTTTCAGCAGGGCCACCTGGAGCCCTCCCGGGAAGCTCACCACTCACAAGACCAAGCTTCCGGGGCCAGCCACTCAGGAACCCTCCTGAACCAACCTCAGCTCCTACCTGCTCCCCACTGAGGTATCAGGACACTGCACCACAGCAGCCTGGTCCCCCACTGCCCTCCCTCCACTGTGCCTTTGTGTCTATGCTGTCCCTGACAGCCCACTCTGTGCGGCAAACACTGACTCACCCTTCAAGGCCTAGGAGAAATCAACCTTCTTTTCAAAAGCCTGCCCAAACAACACTCAATGGCGGAATCACACCCCCTGCCCCTTTCATTCCCAGAGCAGGTGCTCATCTGCACCCAGGGTGGTGTCCTCACAAACAGCTCTACCTACCACCTTCTGTCTTGCCCAAGCTCAATGAAAAAGGCACTCAATTCATAAAGTACTTACTGCAAACCTCTAGCCAAGTCCAGTATTTACAGACTGCACCCAATCCACATGCTGGAAGCAGGGCGGGGAGCAGGTGACAAAACCCTGCCTTCCTACCAGGCTCCAGCGGAACCAAGGAGAGCTCCTCGTCACACGGGCCTGCCTAGGCACCCAACTGGGAGATGGGGACCGTGGCCCCAGGATCTGCCATCGGCCTGGCTTGAAGTTCAACGGTCCCAGCTCTGAGGAGGTTCTCGGTTCCCTTCCAGAAAGAACAGCTTGCCCAGCTCTGCCCATCCTGCCTAGACCCCAGCTCTCAGGAGTGGGGACGGGTACATCTCCCAGAACTGTGTGGTCCCAATCCAGATCCACCAGAAACACGGAGCAGGAGCCTCGGGGAAGGGATGAGGCCAGCACAGAGAGGCAGAGACCAGGGGGCCTGGAAAGTCACCCCTTCCCTGGAACCCCACAAGTTAATGAGAAACAGGACCTCCAAGAGCTCAGACAGTACCTTCCCCCCTGCCCCAAAGACAGGTATTTGAAGCCCAGAAAGGTTCAGAGCCTGGGCTAAGGCCACCAAGTCAGAACAGGCCCCAGGCTCCCTGCTGCAGCCCACACCCCACACTGCGGCACTGCCCTCAACTCTGGCCACCGCAGACCTTCACTGTCTGTCTGTCATGCCCCTCCATCCCCACCATGCCCTCTCCAAGCCTGCAGTGAACTCCCAAGAACCTCAATGATGCAGAGACCTCTCCCTTCCAGACCCAGCAGCCCCAGGAAGGACACTCTCAAGCCCCGAGCAGGTGAGCAGCCCCATCGACCCCAAGTGAAAACTCGCCTGAGTCTAGTGACAGAGCAGAGACAGCTGGGGTGCTGGTCGATCAGCTTTCAAAAAGCAGCAAGAGGCAGGGCAGCCAGGAGGAGGAACGTCCTCCCAGGAATGAGGGGAGAAGCAGGGAGGGCCCCCCAATCTACAACAGCAGTTTTGAGCTATGGGATCCCAGAAGTGGGCATCTAGACAGTCTGTGTTCTTTCACACATCTGGAATGGGGAGGCCAGGGCAAGGTGGCCACAGCGCCCACTGTCCTTCCCCAGCTTGGGGAGACCACCCTCAGGGGGTACCTGTTCCCTCATCAGGTTTCAAAGGAACGCAGCAGGCTCCCCAGCGCCTTCTCTCCCTAGGAGAGTAGGTCCTGCCCCTAATCGCTCCTCCAGGGAACCCAGAAGGCCTCTACCCCCCGAGGAAGGCCAAGCGGTCTCCCCAGCAAGGAGGTGGCTGCTGACTCACGAGGTCCCAATGCTCACCTGGTGCAGCTGGCGGCTGCCCTCCCCTCAGCTCTGGAGTCTCAGGATGGCTGTGGCTGCAAGGCAGGTGGCTCCCCAACTCAGGCCCAGCACTGCCTGGGTCCCTGGTTCCAGCCTCTGCTGCTACCCTTGCCCTCATGCAGCCACTCGGCCCGGGGCTGGAGCTCCGGCTGGCTTCGGGTTTCAGTGAGGCCAGGCCTGCTGGGGCAACCCCAGGAAGGGCACACTCCCCCTGCCTGGCATCCTGCTCAAGGTCGGCCAGAAGGACGGCTGAGGGCCAGGAGAACCCGGTGGCCCCAGAACCCCAGGAGGAGCTGCTATCAGCATTCAGGCCCACTGCCCTCTGCCCCCTAGAGAGGGGGTCACTGCTGGCAAAGCTGCTAGGGGGACCGGAGGACCCAGCATTTGGGGTACCTGGACCCCTCAAGATCAAGGGCCTAGGAGATAGGCTGGCAGGGGTAGGGCCCAGCAAGGGGGTCCTCTCGTCGGCTCCCACCCCAGTGGGGGTGAGCAGGACCGCTTTGGCCAGCTGCTGGCAACAGCTGACACAGACCTGGGCCCAGGCCATGAGGCGGCAGCCTCTGCCCACCAGCCCAGACACTGAGCACTCTGCTGCCCCTGGCCCAAGGGCCTGGCTGGGACCTCTGGCTCCTGCTGCCCCCTGCAGGTGACCTGGCTGCCAGCCCCTTCCTGGGAGTCACTGATTCTGGCAGGAGGGAGGGGGATGGGTCCCCAGGCTCCCACAGGACAACTGCACCCGTGCCCCAGGCCTCCTAGTGCCATCAAGAAGCTGGCAGGCTCCGTGTTCCCTTTCCAGCAGCCCCAGCCCTGCCAGGAGGGAACCAAGTCTCTCCCAAGGGAGAAGAGAGCTGGCACAAGAGGCCCGAGCCGCAGGGGGGGAGGAGCCACCACCCAGCTGGCCAGGGCACCTCTGCCGCGCTGCCAGGCCCAGTGAGGGCTGTCCTAGCATCCACCCTACCCAGGGTGGGCGGGGCCAGGCTCTCACTACAGCCCCTCCCCTCCAGGCCCAGGGATCAGGCAGACGCTGCTTCCCAGCCCCCACAGAGAGTTCTGGGCCCCACACAATGACCAGAAGAAAGGACAGGCCAAGGCAGAGCCCCTCTGCCCCTACCATCTCCCAAAACACCTCACCCTCCGGAGACAGAGTGGGGCGGGGCCGCCTGGCAGTGACCCTGAGGAGTGTTGACAACCACCTGCATTCTGTTTACCATAGAGCCAGGACAGGCCCAGCCTATGGCAGCTCCCACAATTGGCTTGGCTGCCCATCTCACCTGAGGAAACTGAGGCTCCAGAAGGCTAGGAAGCAGCTGCCCAGGGTCACAGGGCAAAGGGCAGCCAAGTCAGCAACAAAAAGCCAGGTGTAACTATCACATTTGGGATGACGTTTTCAAAAAGAAGAAAAGCAAAAGCAGGGTGTCAGATGCCCAAGCCCATGGCTTATGAGTGCCACCCCCACTTGTTAGGGCCAGGCTGCAGCACCCACAGGCAGGCTGCACCCCAGGGGGTAGAGCTACCACCGTCACAGGATTCCCCGAGGCCTCTACACTCTGGGGCCAACACTCCCTGCCCTCCTGTCCCCAGGGCACCTCTGAGGAGTGAGCTTTAGAAAATTGGAAGAGGAGGTCTCCAGCAGGACGGAGCACAGTGCCCCAACAGCACTCGGCATACTCGAAAACTCAGATGCCAGTGAAGAGATAAAGCACACCCCCACAGGGGCCTGGAGGCGCAGGGAGCCCAAAGGCAGCAGAAGGGAGGAGCCAGAAAAGAAACTTAGGCCTCCCCAGGGGGCCTGTGTGCCGCCCAAGCCAGCCACAAACTCACTCAGAAGACTGTGCCAGGGCCAGGCCACACCCCAGCCGCAGCCTCAGCAGGTGAGGCTCCAGCAGAAAGTAAGGTCCTAAAAGGTGCATCGCTTGACCTGGGAGCCCAGGGCTTCAAGGAAAGGGGATGGGAAGGCAGGCGACCTATTGAAGACCCTACAGAGGCAGGCCCCTGTTTGCGTCCTTCCTGTTCTACCCAGGTCAGAGGCAGGTGTCTTCAGGGCCTGAGGACAGTGAGAGTTTCTCAAGCTGTTCCCCGCATCCCATCCGAGAGAACAGCAAAGATCCTGTTGGGGAGCTCCCAAAAGCCCTTAGACTCCTTCCCCACCTGCCAGCCTCCTTCTCCTCCCCACAGGGCCTCATCTCCAGGGAGCCCTCCCCTAGGCAGAAGGAACTTGACACACCACTGTGAACCTGAAAAACCTGCCTGTTCTCTTAACCCCTAAAAGCTGCTTTATTCCCAAGAATGTAGCCAAACCTTGCCCCCCACCCTCAATGGCCTTGACCACTTCTTCCTTAAGGGGACTGAACAGCCTTCCAGAGCTGGAGCTCAGGGGTCAGGAGCCTCGGTTCTGATGCTCAGGTGGGCCCCAGCTGGGCGGTCTTCATTAAGGCTCTGTCCTCTTTTTAATAGATCCGGGCTGGCTGTAATGTGAATCCTAGCTATCTGTGCTAGCTTCCCGGGGGCGTAGGGGCCAATGTCCTGCCCACGGGTATGCTTCCAGTTTCCCCCAAACAAATAGCTGTGCTTTTCCCCTGACCCAGCTTACCCCAGACAGAGCCCCCTCAGCAGAGTTAGGAAGGGGCTTGACTCCCTGACAGAAATCCTCCAGCAGACTCTCGTCAGCCTCTGGTTCTCAGCATGTGATCCAAACCAATACGCCTTCCCAGCTTCCTCTGGGCCAGGCCACAGCAGCCTTGGCTTTGCTGGCCCTGAGCTGGAATCCAAATACTTCTTCCCTTAACAATGAAATGGCTGTGTGACCTTGTGCAAGTCACTTCGATTCTTCAGGTCTCTGATAGAGGTAAGTCTGCCAACCTCTTCTTATCTAGCCTGGCCCACTGATTCAGAACCACATCAGCACGAAGCCTGGCAGGCTGGGGCCATCAGCATTTGCCCTGGCCTTGTCAAGGCAAATCAGCAGCACTGCCCCAGCAGCTGTCCCTCACTCCAAAGTAACTCCGCTATGATGGGAACAGGGTCAGAAAGCCGAACACTGTCCCCATCTGATTCCCAAGTCCGCCCTGGCGCCCTCATGAAGCTGGGAAGGGAGATGATGGGGCGTCAAGACCACAAATCCCAACTGAGGACAGCCGGTGTGTGGGGGGAGACAGGAGTAGCTCCGCACCCCCCGCTGCCACCCGGAGCAAAGAGGACCGCAGCCCAGGCCTGAGGAAGATGTGGGGAGCTGGGAAGGGGATTCCAGCCCCAATGTGGGAGACCGAGACACCGTGGCGGGAACAGAGAAGGGAAAGGGCTCAGAAGAAAGGGAGAGAAGCCGCCCCACCCGAGGCGAGGTGCAGCCACTCCCACAGCCTCCACCACACGGCCCCTATGGGGGATCGAGGAGCCTGACTCCACACTAACGACCTTTGCCTTAAAAACTGCAACTATGGTCTGACCCACTTTTCGCAATGAGGCAGGTTAATGATCAAGTTCTGGCAAAAACACTTCCCCCTGCCAAGGGGTTTGGCTTTGCCCCATGCCCAGGCAGACGCCCCCTATTCCAGGTCCGCCGAGCAGGCCAGCACCAGAGAGAGCGGCCGCCACAGCCTGAAGACCTGCGGCGAAAGCCTGGCTCAGGGCACGAGCCAGAGAAGCCCCTCGCCACACGCACCCCGCACGCACATCGTGCTCTTCCCACGGACTGAGCCTTGGGAAGCCTCGAGTGGAGCTTCACTCCAGGGCTGCAGCCCTGCGTACGGGGAACGCCTAGGAGGCTGGCGCCGAGCAGGTGTCGAAGGGGGCTGTCCCGCAAGCGGCAGAGCGACCCCAGCCCAGAGAGCTCCCTTGCCCGGGCGCAGAGGGGGGTGGGGCCGCCAATTCCCTCTGTCTGCGGCGGCGGCGCACCCCGAAACCGCGTGTGCGCGCACGCGTCCCTGCGACGAGGCGCGCGTGTGCCCGCCGAGGCTGCCCTCCCCGGGACCCCACGTGCGAAGCCCCGGCCGCAGCCGGGGGCGACAGTGAAGGTGACCTTCAGCGCGGGGGCGACCCAGTAGAGGGCCCAGCGAGATACAATCAGTCCCGGCGCGGAGGGAAGGCGGCGGCTCCCCCGGAGTCCCGAACCCACCGTCCCGGACCGGTGCCCCCCGCCCGGCGGCCCGCCGGCCCCGGCCCAGCTCACCGGCCGCGCCCGGCCGCCCCTTGCCCCCGGCCTGCGAGCCGTGCTCCCGGCCGCTGTCCGCCGGGGCGGCCGCCGGCAACTCGTCCGTCTTGATGACCATGGTGGCGGGAGCGGGCGTCCGCCTTGGCTGTCCGGGCCGCCCGCCGCGCCACTAACCCAAGTGCCCTGCGCGCCGCGGCCGCTGCGGGAAGGACGGAGTCACCGGCCCACGTGGTGCGCGCCGTGGCCTTTGACCCCGCCGCCGCTCCCCTGCCCCGCCCTCGCGTCCGGCCCGGCCCACGGCGGCCCGCGAGGGACAAAACGCGCCGCACATCTTTCCCCGCCCACGGACGCGGTGACTTTTCCGAACGTCTTAAAGGCAACGCACCCTGACACCAGGCCCGGGGAGGCCGGGCGCCCTCCAGGGGCGGAGCCTCGGGGAGACTCCTTGCCGCTCGCTTCCCGTCGGGCGGGCAAGGTGACCTTGGGTGGAGATTGGTCTGGGACTGCTATGGCTAGGCCTCCCCCACCCAATGATCCTCTGTTTTCTCTTGCAAATCTGCCAGATGACCACGCCGGCTGCCGTCTGCGGAGTTCGGGTTACCCTCCCCACCGGGCAGGCGCTTTCCCGCGGAATGGGTTGGGTTGGATTATTGAGGAAGTGGAGGGCCGCTTAGGGAACGGGCGCGAGAGGCGAGGGCTGGTCATGGCTAATGGGGATCAGGTGTCAAAGTGGACCCGCCAAACTTTGTCCCGAGCCAGAACAGGCTCCCTACGCGCGTCCTCGACCGATGGGTCCTCGCCTCCAGGCTGGTATCCTCATTTTGCAGTGGAGGAGGCCGAGACCAAGTGCCGAGAAGGGCCGAGACAGAGAGCAAGGGGTAGAGCCGGGGAGAACGTTTTACAGTCGTTGCTGGTTTTCACTTGGTGGGAACTGAAGAGTGAGGTCAGAGAATGCTGCAGAGCTGACATTCGAACCAGGCCTTGCAGGGAGTCGAAATGCTCCAGGCAGAGAGCCCCTAGTGGATCTTTCCTGCACAGGTCCCAGGAGGCCTTTGTGCAGCCCCCGGGGCAGACTCCCTTAGGAGCATTTGTGTGGCTCTGATGGGAACTGGGAGGCTTCAGCTTCTTAAGGTGGGCTGGGAGGGCCCTACCTAGGGCCTTGCACAAATGGCAAAGGAAAGCAGGCCTTGTTCTGGAGTGCACGTGGTGAGGAAAGCCAGTGATGCATGTGAGCGTTTAAACCGCAGGAAGGAAAGATGACAAGTGATAAGATTCATCTTGGCCGGGCGCGGTGGCTCACGCCTGTAATCCCAGCACTTTGGGAGGCCGAGGTGGGAATTTGAGAACACTCTGGGCAACATTTGAAACCCCCGTCTCTACAAAAAGTATTTAAAAAAAAAAAAGCCAGGTTCGGGCAGGGCTCAATGGCTCACACCTGTAATCCTAGCACTTTGGGAGGCAAAGGCGGGCAAATCACCTGAAATCAGGAGTTCAAGACCAGCCTGGCCAACGTGGGGAAACCACATTTCTACTAAAAATATAAAAAATTAGCCGGGCATGGTGGCGGGTGCCTGTAAACCCAGCTACTCGGGAGCTGAGGCAGGAGAATCACTTGAACTTGGGAGGCAGAGGCTGAAGTGAGCCGAGATTAGGCCACTGCACTTCAGCCTGGGTGACAGGGCAAGACTGTGTCTCAGAAAACAAAAACAAACAAACAAAAATAATCTGCGGTTTATTTTCAGTGGATCCCTTCCCCTTTTCCTAGCAGGTCCTACTGCACAGCAGGCATCCTCAGGGCTGCCTCATGGCACTCCTGAGCACCGCAGTTTTCCCACCTTTTGGGTCCCTGCATAGAGATAAGGAGGAAGAATTATCTAGTCCGAGACCCAGCCTGCATTTTTAGCCTGCTGGAAGCTTCCCACCTTCCTAATTATTGTTATCATGGACACACCCACTCAGCTGGGCTTTCCTACATTCCTGCTTCCCCCTCCTTTTCAGAGTTTCCTAGGGGGTTGGAGACGTGAAGCAGGAATCCAAATCCTTTGGACTGCAGCAGAGTCCCCTACTTCCCTGGCCAATCTCTGGGAACCCCTAGAAACAAAATGCCCACCTCCCTCAACCCCAAAACTGCATGGGCAGAAATGCCAGGAAGGAAGGAAGGGATAACAGTAAGATGACCTGGGCTTCAGCCTCCGCAGGTATAAAATGAAGGGGTTGCATAGATGATCTTTTATTATTATTATTATTATTATTTTGAGACAGTTTCGCTCTGGTTAACCAGGCTGGAGTGCAATGGTGTGATCTCGGCTCCACCTCCACCTCCTGGGTTCAGGCAATTCTCCTGCCTCAGCCTCCTGAATTAGCTATTATAGGCATACGCCACCATGCCCAGCTAATTTTTTGTATTTTTAGTAAAGACGGGGTTTCACCATGTTAACCAGGATGGTCTCAATCTCTTGACCTCATGATCCATCCGCCTCGGCCTCCCAAAGTGCTGGGATTACAGGCATGAGCCACCAAACCCGGCCCCTATTATTATTATTTTTAGAGACGGGATCTTGCTTTGTTGCCCAGGCTGGAGAGAAGTGGCTATTCAGAGGCTCGATCCCACTACTGATCAGCATGGGAGTTTTGACCTGCTCCGTTTCCAACCTGGGCCTGTTCACTTCTCCTTAGGCAGCCTGGTGGTCCCCCTCTCCCAGGAGGTCACCATATTGATGCTGAACTTAGCGTGGACACCCAATCGGCATAGCGCACTACCGCCCAGAACTCCTGGGCTCAAGCAATTCTCCAGCTTCAGCCTCCTGAGTAACTGGGACTACAGGCACGTGCCACTACGCCTGGCGCATAGATGATCTTTGAGTTATCTGAGGCCATGCGCAGTGGCTCAGGCCTGTAATCCCAGCACTTTGGGAGGCCCAGATGGGTGGATTACTTGTGTTCAGGAGTTCGAGACCAGGCCAACATGGTGAAACCCCGTCTCTACTAAAAATACACACACAAAAAAAAACCCCACAAAAATCAGCTGGGCATGAGTGGTACATACCTATAATCTCAGCTACTTGGGAGGCTGAGGTGGGAGGATGGTGTGAACTGGGAGGGGGAGGAGGTTGCAGTGAGTGGAGATCCTGCTACTGTATTCCAGCCTGGGTGACAGTGAGACTCCCTCTCAAAACAAACAGTTACCTGGTTCTGACAGTCCATATCTCCATCCTGAACTGTGACTGGGATGGGCTTAGCCAAGCATCCCCAGGGGTCTGTTTGGGGAGCCCTAATGCCCTGTCCTGCCCTACTTTTTCCTTTTTTTTTTTTTTTGAGACGGAGTTTCGCTCTTGTTTACCCAGCTAGAGTGCAATAGGGCGATCTTGGCTCATCACAACCTCCGCCTCCTGGGTTCAGGCAATTCTCCTGCCTCAGCCTCCTGAGTAGCTGGGATTACAGGCACATGCCACTATGCCCAGCTAATTTTTTGTATTTTTAGTAGAGACGGGGTTTCACCATGTTGACCAGGATGTTCTCGATCTCTTGACCTCGGGATCCACCCGCCTCAGCCTCCCAAAGTGCTGGGATTACAGGCGTGAGCCACCGCGCCCAGCTTTCCTTTTCTTTTTTGAAATGGAGTCTTACTCTGTTGCCCAGGCTGGAGTGCAGTGGCATGACCTTGGCTCACTGCAGCCTCTGCCTCTCAGGTTCAAGCAATTCTCAAGCGACCAGGCTGTCTTTTATTTTTTCTTTTCTGACAGAGTCTGGCTCTGTCGCCGAAGCTGGGGTGCAGTGGTGTGATCTCAGCTCACTGCAACCTCTGCATCCCAGGTTCAAGCGATTCTCCTGCCTCAGCCTCTGGAGTAGCTGGGATTATAGGCACCTGCCACCATGCCCAGTTAATTTTTGTATTTTTAGTAGAGATGGGGTTTTGCCATGTTTGTGAGGCTTGTCCCAAACTCCTGGCCTCAAGTGATCTGCCTGCCTTGACCTCGTAGAGTGTTGGGATTATAGGTGTGAGCCACCATGCCCAGCTGCCTTTCTTTTCTTCTTTTTCTGAAATCGTGCATGAGACTCAATTGTCTTGGGCAGATGTTTATCCAAGGCTGGGCCTTCGGCTCCCTCAGTGCCCCCGGAGATAAAAGGCTCGGAACAAGACTAGGCCTGGGCCAGGCTTCCTGGGCTTGCTACAGCTCCTGGTCCCCGCCCATCCTGTGTCCAAACCTGAGCCTAGAGGCTTAAACTGAGTTCAAAATAAGAAGAAAAAACTGAGGCCGGGCGTAGTGGCTCACTCTTGTAATCCAAGCACTTTGGAAGCCAAGGCAGGTGGATCACCTGAGGTCAGGAGTTCAAGACCAGCCTGACCGACATGGTGAAAGCCCGTCTTAAAAAAATAAATAGGCCAGGCACGGTGGCTCACGCCTGTAATCCCAGCACTTTGGGAAGCTGAAGCGGGTGGATCCCGAGGTCAAGAGATCGAGACCATCCTGGTCAACATGGTGAAACCTGGTCTCTACTAAAAATACAAAAAATTAACTGGGCATGGTGGTGCGTGCCTGTAGTCCCAGCTACTCAGGAGGCTGAGGCAGGAGAATTGCCTGAACCCAGGAGGCGGAGGTTGCGGTGAGCCGAGATCATGCCATTGCACTCCAGCCTGGGTAACAAGAGCGAAACTCCATCTCAAAAAAAATAAATAAATAAATAAAAATTGGCTGGGCACAGGTTTTTCCATGTGGCCGCTGCACCCCAGCCTGGACAATAGAGCAAGACTCTGTGTCCAAAAAAAAAAGCTGGTGCAGTGGCTAACACTTGTAATCCCAGCACTTTGGGAGTCTGAAGTAGATGGATCACCTGAGGTCAGGATATTGAGACCAGCCTGGTCAACATGGTAAAACCCCATCTCTACTAAAAATACAAAAATTAGCCAAGTGTGGTGGCGCATGCCTGTAATCCCAGCTACTCAGGAGGCTGAGGCAGGAGAATCGCTTGAACCTGGGAGGTGGAGGTTGCAGTGAGGGGAGATCAAGCCACTGCACTCCAGCCTGGGCACAGAGTGAGACTCCATCTCAAAAAAAAAAAAAAAAAGTGTGTGTGTGTGTGTGTGTGTGTGTGTGTGTGTGTTGTTATCTAGGCCTGTAGTCTCAGCTGCTCAGAAGGCTGAGGAGGAAAGATCCCCTTGAGCACCGGAGTTCAAGTCCTGTGAGACCTTGTCTCTAAAAAAATAGAAACAAAAAAAAATTCCACACCTAAGTGTGGGTGGGGAGGGGATGTATTGATCCATGTAACAGAAAAGGGTAGGAGTCTGTGAGCTTGGGGCATGGCTGAATCCAGGTGCCTTGATTATCTGGAATTGTCTTTTTATTTCCTTGTTCTGTTTCCACCCTTTTTTTTTTTTTTTTTTCCCCCCGAGACGCAGTTTCGCTCTTGTTACCCAGGCTGGAGTGCAATGGCGCGATCTCGGCTCACCGCAACCTCCGCCTCCTGGGTTCAGGCAATTCTCCTGCCTCAGCCTCCTGAGTAGCTGGGATTACAGGCACGCACCACCATGCCCAGCTAATTTTTTGTATTTTTAGTAAAGACGGGGTTTCACCATGTTGACCACGATGGTCTCGATCTCTTGACCTCATGATCCACCCGCCTCGGCCTCCCAAAGTGCTGGGATTACAGGCGTGAGCCACTGCGCCCGGCCTCCACCCTTTTTTTTTTTTCGGTGTAGTTGCTGGATGAAGCGAGGGCCTCACCCCCACTCGTGCTTTAGCTTCCTTGGGAAGACCGAGCACCTCGGCCTATTCTGTTTCTCTTGTGGTAGCTTTGAGTTTAGGCAGCCTTACCCCTTGTGGTGGCAGATGACCTCCCAGATCTCTTGGGTGCCATTTTAGCCACCCAAGAGTTGTCCTTCTCCATAGTCCTGCTCTGTTCACTGCTGAACAGAACAGGCACGTAACATAGGTGCTGAATGAATGGAGTTGCATGTCCATCTTCAGCCCTGCCTTGCCTGGGCCACATGGGTGGGTGGAGTCAGCCCTCCCAACATGTGGACTGAGATGGGTGCAGAGCAGTTCTCTAGAAGGAGAAGGGTCCTGTTATCAGGAGGGTTGCAAGGAAAATCATTTTTTTTTCTGTTTGGTTTAGGTCCCCGGTGTCCTTAGCACACAGAGCTGCTCCCTTTGACTCATCCCCGACATAGACCTGTATTGAATATGCATGGGCTTGAGTTCTCATGGGTGCTGGCTGTGCTGAGCTCCTAAACCCACATCTCAGGATAACCCTCAATAGTGGAGGATAAGAATAGGGCTCCTGCCGGGCACAGTGGCTCACGCCTGTAATCCCAGCACTTTGGGAGGCCGAGGTGGGTGGATCACGAGGTCAAGAGATCGAGACCATCCTGGTCAACGTGGTGAAACCTTGTCTCTACTAAAAATACAAAAAATTAGCTGGGCATGGTGGCCTGTGCCTGTAGTCCCAGCTACTCAGGAGGCTGAGGCAGGAGAATTGCCTGAACCCAGGAGGCGGAGGTTGTGGTGAGCCGAGATCACGCCATTGCACTCCAGCCTGGGTAACAAGAGCAAAACTCCGTCTCAAAAAAAAAAAAAAAAAGAATAGAGCTCCTGCAGGGTTGCTGGGCTTCTTACAGCTGGATCAGGTGGGGGCCGGGCACCAGCATGGCCAAAGATGCCAGAACCCAGGATTCCTTCTGGTACAGAACAGTGGGCAATTCCAGACACTGGGGCCCTTCCAGTCTTCTCTCCACTCTACTCAGGTGCCTGTGATCTAAGATCTGTTTATTCATTTGGATTGGGTGGCATGGAGAGAGGGGCAGGGCTCCGCTGAGGGCTAGGACACCTCAGATGGGCGCCTTAGGCCTGATCTGAGGAATAGGGTTTTTTTTCTTGTTTTTGAGATGGAGTCTCACTGTGTTGCCAGGCTGGAGTGCAGTGGTGTGATCTCCGCTCACTGCAACCTCCACCCCTCCAGGATTCAAGCAATTCTTCTGCCTCAGCCTCCCCAGTAGCTGGGACTATAGGCACCCACCACCATGACCAACTAATTTTTGTATTTTATATAAAGACAGGGTTTCACCATGTTGGCCAGGATGGTCTTGATTTCCTGAGGTGTGATCCGCCTGCCTCATCTTCTCAAAGTGCTGGGATTACAGGCGTGAGCCACCTTGCCCTGCCTTTTTTTTTTTTTTGAGATAGAGTCTCACTGCATCACCCAGGCTGGAATATACTGGTGCAATCTCAGCTCACTGCATACTCTGCCTCCTGGATTCAAGGGATTCTGGTGCCTCAGCCTCCCGAGTAGCTAGGATTATAGGCACGCACCACCACACCTGGCTGATTTTTATTTTAGTAGAGATGTTATTTCACTGTGTTGGCTAGGCTGGTCTTGAACTCCTGACCACAGGTCATCTGCCAGCCTTGGCCTCCCAAAGTTCTGGGATGACAGGCGTGAGCCATCATGCCCTGAGTGAGCCATCATGCCGGTCTGAGGCATATCTAATGAGAGAACCCGAGTCTCAGCTCCTAGTCACACTGGCTGACCCCGAACCACTCACCTAGCTCCTCCACATCCTCTTCCCACACCTGGAAGAACCAAGATGCGGTGCGGCAGAGTGCCCAAAGTAAGAGATTGAATTCATGTTTTTCAGAGATTTTATTAAGAATAAGGCATATGACAGTCACCCTAAAGCACAGGACTCTACTTCTGTGGGTGAATGAGTACAGTCTGAAAAGCACTGGATTCAAAAGCGCAGCCAACAGAGAATTTGGAGCAGGCCCCTCTACCCTGTCCACAGGGCGCCTGCCAGGTGGTTTTGAAGCCCTGCACGTCCCCCATTCAAGGCTGGTGTGTCCTGGAGAAGTTGCTTGGAGAACCCCCTCCCCACACTGAGAAGCTGCCCCTCACCCTCTAGGCCTCCTCCCTCTCTCCACCAGGGAGAACTCCATCCTGCTGCTTATATGGGGAAGGGCTACCCCACTTTGGCCCTGGACTAGTCCCCCAAGCTGCAGGGTGAGGTGGCTGGGCTGAGGTACAGAGCCTCTGACAGCATAGCCCATTGCGCCCTGGCCGAGTTCCAGAGCAGGGGGAGGTCCCCACCAGAAGCTCTGCGTCCTGGATCTGTCCACACTTGGGGTGTGGCAGGAGCTCCACCTAGGGACCCTGAGTGTCATCTTCAACACTCCCTCTCTCCCAGTGGGGATTCGTGCAGCAGAGGAGAGATATAGTCCTTTCCCTTCTTAGTCACCCAGACATTCCAGCAGCTGGGGGGCGTGGGGGTGGGAGGCTTCCCTAGGCCAAATCCAGGGAGGGTGGCCTCTCCGGGCTGAGGCTGAGGAGTTTTGGGCAGCGGCCAAGAGCAGGCCAATGACTCCAGCTCCTAGTCTTATTCTGCTGCACGGAGGGTTCTGTGCAGGCGGGTGGAGGGAAGTTTCCATTATTTTCAGGAGGGCAAGGGGGGAATTTCTGTGAAAACTAGAATCCTGCATCTGCCATGGGTTCTCCCCCAGCTTGCCCCAGGCACCTTCAGCACCTCAGCTGAGAGTCAGTGAGTCAGCTGCTCCAGACTCAGAACTTTTCATCTAGGGGATCTCCAAGCCCCCACAAACAACCGTCATTATCTGTGGTTGCTAGAAGAGGGACGGTTGTTGGGTAGCACTGATGGAATCACTTCGGGAGAGGCAGGCAGGCCACTGGAAGATCCCTGGGGCCAGAGCTGGACACACTGGAGGCCCAGAAGGGAAGGGGGAAGGGGGCTATTGCTATAGAGCTGGGAGGAGGCCAGGCAAAAGGAGCTATGGCTTTTAGTGGGTGGGTGGGCAGATAAAGTACTTTACCATCTCTGCAGAAGAATTGACCTAAGGAAGTCACCCTGTTCACCCCAAAAGTGTGGTTGTGGGAGATGAGGGTGTGTGGGTCCTCTGGAAAGAGGCTCTTGCCCTCCTTCCCACAGTCCTCTGGACACCTCTGAGAGAGGAGTGAGGCCCTCATACACAGACAGGTTCAGAAAGAATAGAAATGCAATGAGTTACATATACTTGAGGGGGGACAGAGATGGCACAGGCACAACCACAGGACTGTTGGAGGAGAGGTGGGGGCAGGCAGAGCAAGGACCCCAAGCCACCTTCTTGGCCCACATGAGACTGGAGAGCACTGTTCCAAGGGTGCCCCAACCTGAGCCGTCTGGATCCCAGGAGCTGGAGACCCACAGACCAGGCCTGGTTATTGCTCAGTGGTCTGGGTAGTCCCAGGAGGGGGCAGCGGGGAGGGCTGCACACTGATTGGCTGAGTGTGCTCGCTCACTGGTTGCTACTTCTTGCCAATTTCCCCTCCCTCTAACAAATGGAAGGAAAGGGGGTGTGGTCGGGGATTCCTCCGTCTTCATGGGGCCATGTTGGGAGAAGAGCTTGTAACCCTAGAGCTTGACTCTGCTCACCTCCCAGACCCCTGGGTAACACGGAATGTGTGGCATCAGCCAAGGTCAGGAACTGTCAGGAAAGGGGTGTCTATGAGGGAGGTAAAGGCCTCTCCCTGCCCCATGTCCTCCCCTTGAAGCCCCTGGAAGACCTCACAGGCACTTAGGACTTCAGGCAGGACCCACACAGGAGGGATGGCATGGGGCTCCAGGGGTGTGCTTCCTTCTAGGCTGGACTGCGGGTGGGGGCAACAAGCTGCGCTGAACTGCCCCTCCTGCCTTTGGTAGTGGCTGGGGAGCTTAGGAGAAAGGGCTAGGAAGTGGGGCGTTCCCCTTTCCACCATTCGACATGGGGAACTGCGCATCCCACCACTTCCAGATTCTGACAGGTTCAGGGGCATCTCCGGACGGGGTCCCGGGTGGGGACTCACCTGTGCTCCCACCATGCCCCCCAGCAAACCCAAACCCAAACTTCTATCAGTAGCTGCCACTTCCAAGAAGCCAGGCCCTTCTTTTTTCCTTTTTTTGAGATGGAGTTTTGCTCTTGTAGCCCAGGCTGGAGTGTAATGGCGCGATCTCGGCTAACTGCAACCTCCACCTTCCAGGTTCCAGCGATTCTCCTGCTTCCACTTCTCAAGTAGCTGGGATTACAGGCACGCACCAACACGCCCAGCTTTTTGTATTTTTAGTAGAGACGGGGTTTCACCAAGTTGGCCAGGCTGGTCTCGAACTCGTGACCTCCGGTGATCCGCCCGTCGCAGCCTCCCAAGGTGCTGGGATTACAGACGTGAGCCACCGTGCCCGGCCAAGGCCTCCTTCTTCTTGCCTCTGGGTGCAACCAGCTGATTAGGAAGCCGAGCAAAATTAGCACCAATAAACAGGACTAGGAAAACCTGGGGCTACCCCCTGAGGGGAAAACAGTTCCTGCCTTCCGGAAGCCTGGCCCGCAGCTTGCCTCTCCGTCACCTCCCTTCCCCAGAGCAGCTCCCAGTCCCCGCGTGCCCAGCGTGGCGGACTCGGGAAGAGCTGCGCTGGAGACGGCTCTAGACCAAGTCCGGCCACCTGGCCGCTTCTGTAATCCTCTCCCAGGGCACACGGATGCGACCTTCCAGAAGTTCAACTTCGAGCAGGCGCACCTTCCCCACCAGGGGCTCTGGGAAGGCGCATCTTCTAAAGTGTTCCGTGCTCGCCTGCAAGGACCTGTCGGCAGGTTCGGGGTAGGGGTAAAAGGACAGACCCGAACCTAAGCCTCTCCTGGGAGGAAGGAGGCTGAGCGGGAAGGGCGTCGGCGCCGGGGTGGGGAGGCCGGGGGTACCGCTGCCACTCCGCAGGCCAGCCCGGCCCTCCCACCCCACCACGGACTGTCGGCTTTCCCGGGGCCGGGCGTGTCCTCGCCCCTCCCGTGTGGCCGGCGGCCGGGACTGGGTGAGGATCCGGGCTGCGAGGCCTCCCCGAAAAGAAGGTGTCGCCGCTCGGCCCCGTGGAGGAATCTCGCGGGAGGAGAACGCTGGAAGCTTTGGAAACGTCGGGAAGTACAAAAGGCTGGCGGTTGGAGGGGTGGGGGAGCCGAGGCCGCAGCTACTCGCTTCCTGGAGGAGGGGCAGCCGCCCTCGGCCCCCGGGACCTATATGCACGGCCCGAGCTGCGTCCCTGGCCGACCCTCCCCGTGCGCTCCGCGTCACCCTGGGCCTACTCCGGGTCCCCCTGCGCGCTAGGCGCGGGATGCTGCGGGCCGGCTCGGTCCGGGGGCTCCTGGGGAGGCGGCTGGCGCAGGCTGCGACCGCTGGGCCGCAGCGGCCTCCGGGCGTAGAGGAAGACCGCGGGATCGGGCATGGGGTCGGCGTCGTCCAGGGCGCAGGCCCCGCGGTCCCAGGCGGCCCAATCCCGGCCGGGGCCCTTGGCGGCGGCCTCGTGGGCGGCGGGGGGGCGGCGGGCCCGCGGTGCGCGGCGGCGGGGCCGGGGTTCGGCGGCGGCGGCGGCGCCGGGGCCCGGGCGCGGGGCCTGCAGTCTCTGGCGCGCCGCGTGCAGCTGGCAGGAGAGGTAGGCGGCCGTCTCGGTGTGCTTCTGCAGCTCGGTGCCCAGCACGGTGGCGCGGTGGCTGCGGCGGCGCAGCTCCTCCAGGAAGCGGCGCTCCTCGGTGCGGAGGCTGCAGCGCAGCGCGGATACCAGCGCCTCGCGCTGCGCCACCTCCCGCCGTAGCTCCGCGTTGGCCGCGGCCCGCGCCTCCAGCTGCGACTCCAGGGCGCGGCACTTGCTCTCCAACTCCCGGGATGCCGCCTCTGGAACGGTGCAGAGGCCAGAGGTTATAGTCACCGCCGGGATTGGAACAGAATCTGCACGGCTCAGCGCTCCACGCAACAAAGTGCCCAGGCCCGGCGCGGGGGTTCACGCCTGGAATCTCAGCATTTGGGAGGACGAGGTGGGCGGATCACTTGAGGTCAGGAGTTCGAGACCAGCTTGGCCAGCATGGCGCAACCGCGTCTCTACTAAAAATAAAACAATGAGGCCAGGCGCGGAGGCTTGCGCCTGTAACCCAGCATTTGGGAAGCTGAATTTGTCAGATCAGTTGAGAACAGGAGTTCGAGACCAGCCTGGCCAACATGGCGAAACCCCATTTCTACTATAAATACAAAAGTTAGCCAGGCATTGTGGTGGGTGCCTGTAATCCTAGCTACTCGGAGGCTGAGGCAGGAGGATCGCTTGAATCTAGGAGGGGCCGAGGTTGTAGTGAGCTGAGATCACGCCAGTGCACTCCAGCCTGGGTGACGAAGCGAGACTCACTCTCAAAAAACAAAAACAAAACAAGCCCCACTCCTCCCCACGCCCCCCACCTACTCGTCCTACCGATCTCCCTCTCCTTGCCCACTGGGGCTGCAGTGGCCTTCCTCGTTCTGCCCTTGCGCCTTTCCTATCCTCTGCTTGGCCTCTCCTCTCATTCTTCAGGTTTCAGCTTAAGTGCAAACCCCTTCCAGGCCCTTTATTCATTCCACATATAATTCATGGACTCCTGACCACGTGCACTGTGTTAGGTATTGGAGGTAGGACACATAATAAAACGGTCTCTGTGAAGTTTACACGGTAGTGGGAGAGACATAGTAAATAATCACAAATAAATGTGAGCTTGCAACTGTGACATGTGGAAAGTCAGTGCTGTGACTGTAACTGGAGAATGTGACCTCGAGAGGGAAGTCTTCCCAGCAGAAGAGACTAGAGCTAAGATCTAAGGATAAATGGGAATTAAGTAGTGAAGACAGGAGAGAAGGGTGCTCCAGACAGGAAACAGCTTGTGTTAAAACCCAGTGGCAGGAAGACCTGGTGAGAGGAAGGGATTGAAGGAGATGTGAGTGTGTGTGGGGAGTCTGTGCCCTTGTTTCCTCCACAGGACATTATCACCTTTTTTTTTTTTTTTTTTTTTTGAGACAAAGTCTCCCTCTGTTGCCAGGCTGGAGTGCAGTGGCATAGCTCACTGCAGCCTCTACTTGAGCCTCCTGGGCTCAAGTAATCCTCCTACCTCAGCCTTCCCAGGAGCTTGGACCACAGGCATGCACATTTTTTTGTAGAGAGGAGGCTTTGCCATATTGCCTGGGCTGGTCTCGAACTCCTGGGTTCAGGCAATCCTCCTGCCTCAGCCTCCCAAAATGTTCGGATTACAGGTGTGAGTCATCTTGGTCGGGTGTTGTGGCTCACGCCTGTAATCCCAGTACTTTGGGAGGCCAAGGCAGGTGGATCACAAGGTCAGGAGTTCGAGACCAGCCTGACCAACATGATGAAACCTCATCTCTACTAAAAATACAAAAATTAGCCAGGCATGGTGACGCCTGTAACCCCAGCTACTCAGAAGGCTGAGGCAGGAGAATCACTTGAACCCAAGGCTGCAGTGAGCCAAGATCACATCACTGCACTCCAGCCTGGGCAACAGAATGAGACACCGTTTCAAAAAAAAAAACAGGTATGAGTCACCACGCCCACCCGCATGTTTGTGATTTTTTTGTTTATTGTTTCCCTTTGCCACTGCAGCAGGTTTCAACCCTGGATAGGCACTGGAACTACCTAGAGAGTTTTAAAAAATGCTGTTACCTGGGCACTACTAAAAACCAATTGAATCAGCATCCCTGGAGTTGAACCTGGGAACTGGTGTTGCTTAGATCTTCCCAGGTGATTCTCGTGTGCAGCTGAGTTGAGGACCCCTGTCTCCTGACCACAAGCTGTCTCAGCAGGACCATATCCTAGGACTCGGGACGTGTGAATGTAGGGATGTAGGCAGCCAAGTCGAAAAAGTACCCTGGAAGTATGAAAATCACCAAGTGATAAGAGGACAAAGAAAGTTCTTAAGCCCAGTGGGTTGGCACACTCATCCCAGTGACTTGGGGGAGGGCTGAGGGGGGAGGATCTCTTGAGCCTAGAAGTACGAAGCTATAGTGAGCTGTGACTGTGCCTCGGGACACTACAGCCTGGGCAACAGAGCAAGACCCTGTCTCTAAAATAAAAAAAGTTCTCAGCCGGGCATGGTGGCTCAAGCCTGTAATCCCAGCACTTTGGGAGGCCGAGGTGGGCGGATCCTGAGGTCAAGAGATCGAGACCATCCTGGTCAACATGGTGAAACCCCGTCTACTAAAAATACAAAAATTAGCTGGGCATGGTGGCATGCTCCTATAGTCCCAGCTACTCGGGAGGCTGAGGCAGGAGAATTGCTTGAACCCAGGAGGTGGAGGTTGCAGTGAACCGAGATTGTGCCACTGCACTCCAGCCTGGCGCCTGGTGACAGTAAGACTCTGTCTTAAAAAAAAAAGAGTTCTCCAAGCCCATTGAAAGACAAGACAGGCCAGCACAGTGGCTCACGTCTGTAATCCTGGCACTTTGGAGGCTGAGCAAATTGCTTAAGCTCAGGAGTTCAAGACCAACGTCAGTGACGTGGTGAAACTCCATCTACAAAAAAGCCAGGCGTGGTGGCACATGTCTGTAGAAACAGCTGATCTCGAGGTTGATGTGAAAGGATCTCTTGAGCCCATCCAGGAGGTGGAGATTGCAGTGAGCAGAGATGGTGCCACTACATACCAGCCTGGGCGATATAGTATGAGACCCTGTCTCAAAAAAAATAAAAAAAACCACGATACTGGGCAGTGGCTTGAGCCCAGGTGACCACAAAGACCCTTTCAGACAAAGGACAGTGAGTGGGGTGAAAGAGGCTTTGTCACAGAACTGTCCTAGCGTCTGGGATTCGTGCTGCCTTCCATCAACCACCTGGGCAGAAGAGGTTGTCCTTTTATGGTGGAATTAGTCCAGGTCCATAAGTGTTTAGATGATCCCTAGCTGATCTTTAAGCATGAATACACAAAGCAATCTGTAAGGCTTCTAACATCATAGCTTAAACTTCCAGCCTATAGCACTTCTCTATAAGCAACACAGCAATATGGAAGAGTCATCTTTTTTTTGAGACTGAGTTTCCCTCTTGTTGCCCAGGCCGGAGTGCAATGCGGTGATTTCAGCTCACCCCAACCTCTGCCTCCTGAGTTGAAGCAATTCTTTTGCCTCAGCCTCCCGAGCAGCTGGTATTACAGGCATGCACCACTGTGTCCAGCTAATTTTTTTTTTTTTTTTGAGACAGAGTCTTGCTCTGTCGCCAGCCTGGAGTGCAGTGGCGCAATCCCGGCTCACTGCAACTTCTGTTTTCTGGTTTCAAGCAGTTCTGCCTCAGCCTCCCGAGTAGCTGGGACAACAGGCACGCACCACCACGCCCAGCTAATTTTTTGTACTTTTAGTAGAGATGGGGTTTCACCATGTTGGTCAGGCTGGTCTTGAACTCCCGACCTCAGGTGATCTACCCGTCTTGGCCTCCAAAGTGCTGGGATTACAGGCGTGAGCCACCATGCCCAGCCGGTCTCAATCTCTTGACTTTGTGATCCACCCGCCTCGGCCTTCCAAAGTGCTGGGATTACAGGCGGCTAATTTTTTATATGTACTCAGTCCTGGTTCTGAGCTCTTATAATCTGATGATAAAGATCTCAACAATTCAATTTAAAAATTGTGGGGAAAAAGACATGACAAGATTTAGCATCCTAACCATTTGTAGGAGTACCATTCCATACCGTTAGGTATATTCATGTTGGTGTACAACAGATCTTTAGAACTTTCTCGTCTTGCAAAACTAAAAGTCGATACCCATTGAGCCCCCAACCCCCCAATTTTATGGGTGAAGTAATATTCTATAAACAAATATTTTAGTGGAATTTCTTTTTTTGAGACAGTTTCGCTTGTTGCCCAGGCTGGAGTGAAGTGGCTTAATTTCGGCTCACTGCAACCTCTGCCTCCTGGGTTGAAGTGATCCTCCCACATCAGCTTCTCAAGTACCTGGGATTACAGATGCATACCACCGCACCTGGCTAATTTTTGTATTTTTAGTACAGACGGGGTTTCACCATGTTTGCCAGTCTGGTCTTGAACTCTTGACCTCAGGTGATCCACCCACCTCAACCTCCCAAAGTGCTGGGATAACAGGCGTGAGTCACCACGCCTGACTTCAGTGGAATTTCTACGACAGCAAGAAATCTTGTAAAATGCAGGATTTACTAGTGTGTGTGTGTGTGTGTGTGTTTTTCATTTCCTGTAAATTCCTTGAAGTCAAGGAGCCCATCCTGATATGCATCTTGGCCTCAGCCTGCAATCACTCAGATGAGTGCACCTTGACACTGACCATGTGATCCCTTGTGCAAGGATGGGAAGGACTGGGGAGGTGAGTCACATTACCATTTCCTTCCTGCTTTCCTTTCCTCACTTTGGACAGAGACATGGATACAGGGCACTGTGTGTGGTGGTGTACATTGTTCACTGCACAAGGGCATCCCCAAGGTCATCCACTGGGCAAGTGTGGCTGACACCCTGCACTCTGCTCACCAGCCAAGGAGTGACTGTTCTCAAGTCTAGGCTGGCAACAGAGAAGGCATGGATCTTACTAAGGGCTGGGGAAACTCCAGCTGTGGGGCCCATGACCCTTCCCCACCAGTAGTCCCTCTCTTACCTTGCTGGTGAGATTGGACCCCTCTCATTTCCAGGTCATGCGTCAGTTCTAGGGGGAAAGAAAAGAAAAGGCAGTTTGTGTGTGTGTGTGTGTGTATGAGAGAGAGATCATGGAATCACAGCTCAGTAAGAGTGGCAATAAGGATCTTTAGAAACCATCCCCATACTATTTTACTGCAGTTTTGCAAGGGGAAGAGATGAAGAGGTGTGTCTAGGATGCAGCCGGAACCTGGCCAGCTGGATTCTAAGCTCAGAAATCTTCCCAGCTCAAGCTTTGAACCCAGGTTTGGAGTTTAGTTCACTCCTCCTGGGACTGAGGACCCTGGCTTGTTTTGGGGCTGGGGGAGTATCTACCCTTCCTGGGGTGATATGCCAGCTAATCAGAGCAGTCCTGGAAGACTTTTGCTGTGCAGGGCTTTGACCTTTTTGTGTTCAGCTGATGGCTGCTGGAGAATCCTGAACTACTTGGTGGCACTGAGGCAAGCTCAGGGCAGTGGCTACTTACCAGTTTGGACACTTGCTTCTCACCGTTTTTTTTTTTTTTGAGACAAAGTCTCACTCTGTTGCCCAGGCTGGAATGCAGTGGCGTGATCTCAGCCCACTGCAACTTCTGCCTCCCAAATTCAAGCAATTCTCCTGCCTTAGCCTCCTGCGTAGCTGGGACTACAGGCTTCCGCCACCACGTCTGGCTAATTTTTTGTATTTTTAGTAGAGACGGACGGGTTTCACCATGTTAGCCAGGATGGTCTCGATCTCTTGACCTCGTGATCTACCTGCCTCGGCCTCCCAAAGTGCTGGGATGACAGGTGTGAGCCACTGAGCCCGGCTTAATTTTTTTTTTTTTTGTAGCAATGGAGTCTTTCTATATTGTCCAGGCTGGTCTCAAACTCCTGGGCTCAAGCAATCCTGTCATAGCCTCCCAAAGTGCTGGGATGACAAGCGTGAGCCACCGCGCATGGCTGCTTTTCACTGTTTTGACAGCTGGTATGGCTGAGCCTGTGTTATTATCTGAATATCAGCACTGCCCCCTCCCAAGCCCAGTTCTACTGTATTCCCCCCTGGCAGGGAGGGGCTTCGAGGACCGTGCTGCCTTAGTGATGGAGGCTTGGCATTGACGGGGTGGGGCGGGCAGCCTAGGAGCCACTCGAGGGCAGTGGCGCAGGGGCAGTTTCCTCCTGGGTACTGCAGCCTAGCCACCACCCCTCTGCCGGCCTGGCGCCCTAGTTTCCATTCCTTAGTGCCCTCCAACCCCATCTCTCAGCCCAGGTGAGTTTGATAACTTTTCCAGACCCACCCCCACTCCCCCAACTCCAGCATGGCTCAAGAGCTGATACAAGGACAGAAGGCAGCCAGAGCCACAGCTGCCAGTGATGCAGGCCTACTCAGAGGCACCTGTGTACACTTGCAGGCACACAGTCTGGTGCCCAAGGGGAGAAGGTGTGAAGCTGGGGGTCGGGTAAGGAAGGCAGCACATCTCTGGGACCAGCACCCAGCAGCACCGTCAGGGACTGGCCTGTGACCCCTCTGCCCGCCCCTCCTCACTGCCCTCACTGGGCTCTTCCAGAGCTTTACCAGAGGTGCCTTCTCTGGGGAGGCCGGTTGTTGCTGGGAGACAGGCAGCTGGGATGCCTGAGCCTTCTGCTGTGACCAGAGTCTGAACCTGCTCCCTGGGTGCCCTGTGAGGGCTCCAATGCCTCCCTCCAGGGCTTCCTGGGGCCAACTCAGCCCCTCCTCCAAGGGCTTGTGATGTAGCCCCAGGGGTCCTGAACTGGGTTCAGGGATTTGGGCATGGGGATGCCTTGGCTCTGCCATGAACTCCCTGTGGGTGGTTTCTCTTCAGCCCTTAAACCCAGGACTTGGGGGTAGGGAGATAAAAGTCCCAGCTGGGCTGTAGATGAGCATGCTGTGAGGTCACATGCTGTGTGACCATGGCCAGTAACAGCACCTCTCTGAGCCTCAGTTTTCTCATCTGGAAAATAGGGGCATAAGAGCATCTCCTCTCTAAGGAGCTGTCGCCAGGATTAAATGAGAAAAAAATAAAAGTGAGCTCGGCCCAGGGCTAAACTGGTGCTGAACAAGGGTGGGGAGTTCTTGTCATCATCCACGCTGCTTCACCCCCCAGAACATGCCCACCTCTCCAGCTCTTCGTTCTGAGGCCTCGCCCACCCTCAGCCAGCTCCCTCAGGACAGGCTGGTCTCCTACACCAGCCTCTCCCCCTCCCAACGCCCTCCCAGCTCTGGGTTCCTCTGTAATCTCCTTTCCCTTATCTTCTCTCTTCTCATCAGCTCCTCCTTGGGGGAAAGGCCTTATTCAGTCATTTCAGCCCCAAGAATGGCTGCTGTAGCCCAGCCCAGTTATTTTATCTCCTTAATCAATAACCGAGAGGTGGTGGGGTATGGAAGCTCACGCCTATAATCGCAGCACTTTGGGAGGCCAAGGCAGGCAGATCATCTGAGGTCAGGAGTTCAAGACCATCCTGGCCAACATGGTGAAAGCTCGTCTCTGCTAAAAGTACAAAAATTAGTGGTGGTGAGTACCTGTAGTCCCAGCTACTTGGGAGGCTGAGGCAGGAGAATGGCTTCAACCTGGAAGGCGGAGGTTGCAGTGAGCTGACATCGTGCCACTGTACTCCAGCCTGGGTGACAGAGTGAGACTCCATCTCAAAAATAAAAAATAGTAATAAAAAAAAAACCGAGGTTTCAGGCCCATAGCCATGTGAGAAGGGCAGCAGGGGTGAGGGCGCTCTGTCCTGCTGGCTCCACACTTGGGGATCTGGCCTGGGTCCTAAAAGGAGGAGCCACCAGTTCTCAGAATTAGCAAAACAGAAGCAAGAGGAACTGCTGTAGGGTCTTAGGATTTTCTCTTTTCTTTTTCTTTCTTTTTGAGATGGAGTCTCACTCTTGTTGCCCAGGCTGGAATGCCATGGCACAATCTTGGCTCAATGCAACCACTGCCTTCCAGGTTCAGGTGATTCTCCTACATCAGCCTCCTGAGAAGCTGAGATTACAGGCACATGCCACCATGCCCGTCTAATTTTTGTATTTTTAGTAGAGATGGGGTTTTACCATATTGGCCAGACTGGTCTCGAACTCCTGACCTTGTGATATGCCTGCCTCTGCCTCCTAAAGTGCTGGGATTACAGGTGTGAGCCACCGTGCCTGGTGGTTTCCTCTTTTTTTTTTTTTTTTTTATAATTTTGTTATTTCAGTGAAAAGGTTGCATCAGGCATGGGTGAGATACTTGGGTCACTGTTGTCTCCCAGGCTGGCCTCTCTCTGTTCCCATCCTGTCTTCAGGGGAGTTGAGAATGTGGCTGCCGACTGTGTCTGTGGAGCCTGAGGAAGCTGTAATGCCTGAGTCAGGACTATTGGCTTCTCATGTCACAGTGTGGGGAGTGAGCTGGGTCACTCAGATCCTTTGGGACTCAGTTTCCCTGGGCAGTAGGGAGCTCCCAGGAGCAGGTGCTGGGAGTTAGAAGTCTGAGCATCTTGGGGAGAAGACGTCCAGAAAGCTGCAGAGGCATGTAGGGCCGTGCGTCTGGAGCTCTGGGACCTAATTATCCCTCCACCACTGACATACTGGGCGGCTGTCTCTCTGGGCCTTGGTTTACCTAAGTAGGTACAATGAAGAGGCTGGGCCCTCCCAGCTGAGACAGTCTATGAGTTTCCACATTCAGGCTTTGGAGCCAATGTGGCTCAAAAGCCTGAATGTGGAAACTCAGCCTCAAGGAGCACTTGGGGCAGAGCCAAGCCTCTGAGAGCCCCAGGCAGCTGAGACCTCAAGCGCAAGAGCAGAGGCCAGGCCTGGGATTTCACTCCGTCCTTGGTGCCTCCCTCTGCTCCGCCCACAATTATAGTCGGCAGGCAAGTCCTTTTTTTCAGCCCACCTCCCATGGGTCCTCCCCTTTCCATCCCTCTTCATCTCTCCCCTGTACCGTTCACCACCTCTGCTGGTTTCCCTACCTCCCTCTCCCACCAATTCAGCTTCCATACAACTGCCAGACTGAACTGCTTTTGCTTTCTTTCTTTCTTTTTTTGAGACAGTCTCACTCTGAGGTCCATGCTGGAGTGCAGTAATGTGATCTTGGCTCACTCCAACTTACACCTCCCAGGTTCAAGTGATTCTCCTGCCTCAGCCTTCTGAGTAGCTGGGATTACAGGTGTGCACCACCACGCCTGGCTAACTTTTGTATTTTTAGTAGAGATGGGGTTTCACCATGTTGGTCAGGCTGTTCTTGAACTCTTGACCTTAGGTGATCCACCCACCTCAGCCTCCCAAAGTGCTGGGATTACAGGTATCGGCCACCGCACCTGGCCCAGACTGAGTTTTTTTTTTTTTTTTTTTCTTTGAGACAGTCTTGCACTTGCTCTGTCATCCAGGCTGGAGTGCAGTGGCCCGATCTCGCTTCCTGGGTTCAAGCGATTCTCTTGCCTCAGCCTCGTGAGTAACTGGGATTATAGGTGCATGCCATCATACCCAGCTAATTTTTGTGTTTTTAGTAGAGATGAGGTTTCACCATATTGGCCAGGCTGCTCTCAAACTTCTGACCTCATATCTGCTCACCTCGGCCTCCCAAAGTGTTGGGATTACGGGCGTGAGCCACCGTGCCTGGCCCAGACTGAGTTTCTTTCTTTTTTTTTTTTGAGATGGAGTTTCGCTCTTGTTACCCAGGCTGGAGTACAATGGCGCGATCTCGGCTCACCGCAACCTCCACCTCCTGGGTTCAGGCAATTCTCTTGCCTCAGCTTCCTGAGTAGCTGGGATTATAGGCACGCGCCACCATGCCCAGCTAATTTTTTGTATTTTTGGTAAAGATGGGGTTTCACCTTGTTGACCAGGATGGTCTTGATCTCTTGACCTCGTGATCCACCCACCTCAGCCTCCGAAAGTGCTGGGATTACAGGCGTGAGCCACCGCGCCCAGCCCAGACTGAATTTCTCAGTGCGGCATAATGCTATCAAGCAGCACTGAGCTGCTCAAAAAACCCTCTGTGCCTCCCACTACCCAGGAGGACAAACTCCTTGGCGATCATGGTATTGGTCAAGGTCTTCCACACTCTGGCTCCAGTCGGATTTTTTTTTTTTTTGACAGAGTCTCAGTCTGTTGCCCAGGCTGGAGTGCAGTGGCACAATCTTGGCTCACTGCAACCTTTGCCTCCTGGGTTCAAGCAATTCTCTCGCATCTTAGCATCCTGAGTAGCTGGGACTACAGGCATCTGCCACTGCGCCCAGGTAATATTTATATTTTTAGTAGAGACGGGGTTTCACCATATTGGTCAGGCTGGTCTCAAATTCCTGACCTCAGATGATCCACCCACTTCGGCCTCCCAAAGTGCTGGGATCACAGATGTGAGCTGCTGCGTCCAGCCTCGAGATCAGTCTCCTTTAAGTGCTGCTCTATCCATCAACTAGAACTTTCCATGAGCCTCTAGCTTCTCAGCTTCTGGACTTTGCCATGCTCTTCCCTTCATCTGGAATGCTCTCTCCACTCCCCTTTCCCTGTGGTATCTCGGCATGTCCACATGTTACGTAGCCTCTAGGAGCTGAAGCACCCCTCCCCTGGGGAGCCTCAGAGGCTGGGTCTCCTCCCGTGCCTGCTCCTCAGGCTGGATGTTCGCCTGCCCATGAGCTCCTGCTTGATTTCTGCTCTCTCTCCATATCACCAGTTGGCCTGTGTGTCTCCCCAGCTAGACTCAGAGCTGGGAGTTTCGTGGTGAACAGTGACTTGGAAAGGATGGGAACCTCCGGGATTGGGTTCCCAGGAGTCCTACACTACCTTAACCAGAGTGCTTTGCCCTGAAACTGTCAAGTGTTCCTAGAACTTCTCTGTCTGTCTCACCTCCCCAAGTCTCAGCTTCCTTATTCAAAAAAAGAGGCAGCAGAATTGGTGCAGTGTGAGGCTCACAGGGGCTGCTGGTGGGCACACCCCAGAAACTGTGGCTGTGAAACTGGCTGTTCTGGCCAGGTGCAGTGGCTCACGCCTGTAATCCCAGCACTTTGGGAGTCTGAGGCAGGTGGATCATGAGGCCGGGAGTTCAAGACCAGCCTGGCCAATATGGTGAAACCCAACCCTACTAAAAATACAAAAATTAGCAGGCATGGTGGCGCATGCCTGTAATCGCAGCTACTTAGGAGGTGGAGGCAGGAGAATTGCTTGAACCTGGGAGGGCGGAGTTTGCAGTGAGATGAGATCCAGCCACTGCACTCCAGCCTGGGCAACAGAGCAAGACTGTCTCAAAAAAAAAAGAAAGAAAAAAACCAATGACTGTGATGATGACAATGACCAGTGACCCTTTCCCACCCATCTGACTGTCTCTCCTGGCCTCACCTGAGCAGCGTTTCTGCAGCCTCAGGATCTCCAGGTGCAGGTCTCGCAGTAGGGCCATCTGCTCCTTTTTCAAGAAGCTGATGTGGCGTTGCACGCTCTGGATCTGATGCTGCAGGGACACGGTATCCATGGCAACCCAGGCCTGGCCCCACCTAGGGAGGACGACAAGGTGAACCCACCTCTTCCAAGCCCATGTGCGCTGCCCCACCCTCAGCTCTTTCACTGTCTCCTCCACTCTGGGTCCTGTTGCCACCAGGAAGATGATTCCGCCACTGCTGTTACTGCCCCGCTGTTTCCTTATTCAGCCTTCATGATGAAGCAGGGTGTAGACAGGAAAGCATCGTTATTCCCATTTCACAGACAGAGAACCAGAGGCCCAGGAGGCAATGGTTTCATTCTCCTGCTCCCGTGTAACTTTTTTTTTTTGAGATGGAGCCTTGCTCTGTTACCCAGGCTGGAGTGCAGTGGTGCGATCTTGGCTTACTGCAACCTCCGCCTCCCAGATTCAAGCGATTCTCGTGCCTCAGCCTCCCAGGTAACTAGGATTACAGGCGCCTACCACCATGCCTGGTTAATTTTTGTATTTTAGGGTTTCACCATGTTGGCCAGGCTAGTCTTGAACTCCTGACCTCAGGTGATCCACCTGTCTCAGCCTCCCAAAGTGCTGAGATTAAGAGGTGAGCCACTGCACCCGGCCCCGTGTAACTTTAGCCTCTTCTACTTCTCTGTCTCTCTCTCTTTATTAAATAGAGATGGGTTTCACCATCTTGGCCAGGCTGGTCTTGAACTCCTGACCTTGTGATCCACCTGCCTCAGCCTCCCAAAGTGCTGGGATTACAGGTGTGAGCCACCGCGCCCAGCCAGCCTGTTCTACTTCTCAAACAGGAAAACAGATGGAGTGGCAAAGTGAATAAACAGAGAAAACATGGGTTCTAGCCTGCTTCTCCTGCCCTCGCAGTGTGACCTGGGTGAGTCCTCTCCCTCTGTGGGCTCTGGGTTTTCTCATGGGTAAAATGAGGGAGTTGTGGAGTGAGTGACCCTGAGCTCTGACGTCCCACAAGTGTCTCAGCCCAAGGGCTACGTGGCTATTCTGAGGATAATTCTCCCTTAGTTCAACTCCAACTCTACCACAGTCCAGGGCTCCAGGCGCCTCCAAATCACAGTGGAAGAAGATGTGGTGAATGTTTCACTAACACTGACTGGGCTAAAGGCAGGTGGTGGAGTCCCTTTTAAAAAGAGAAAGGCTGAGCGTGGTGGCTCACGCCTGTCATTCCAGCACTTTGGGAGGCTGAGTCGGGGTTGGGGGGAACTCCTGAGGTCGGGAGTTCCAGACCAGCCTGGCCAACTTGGTGAAACCCCATCTCTTCCAACAATACAAAAAATTAGCCTGGCATGGTGGCAGGCTCCTATAATCCCAGCTACTTGGGAGTTTGAGGCATGAGAAGTGCTTCAACCTTAGAGGTGCAGGTTGCAGTGAGCTGAGACCATGTCATTGCACTCCAGCCTGGAAGGCAGAGTGAGACTCCATCTCTAAATAAATAAACAGATAAAATAATAGAGAAACAGGCCAGACACTGTGGCTCACACCTGTAATTCCAGCACTTTTGGAGCCTAAGGCAGGCAGATCACTTGAGTCCAAGAGTTCGAGACCAGCCTGACCAACGCGGCAAAACCTCATCTCTACTAAAAATACAAAAAATTAGCTGGGCATGGTGGGGCATACGCCTGTAATCCCAGCTACTTGGGAGGCTGAGGCGCAAGGATTGCTTCAACCTGGGAGGTGGAGGTTGCAATGAGCCAAGATCATGCCCCTGCACTGCAGCCTGGGCAACAGAGCAAGACTCCCATCTCAAAAATACATAAATAGGCCAGGCGCGGGGGCTCACGCCTATAATCCCAGCACTTTGGGAGGCCGAGGTGGGTGGATCACGAGGTCAAGAGATCGAGACCGTCCTGGTCAACAAGGTGAAACCCCCTCTCTACTAAAAATACAAAAATTAGCTGGGCATGGTGGTGCATGCCTGTAGTCCCAGCTATTCAGGAGGCTGAGGCAGGAGAATTGCCTGAACCCAGAAGGCGGAGGTTGTGGTGAGCCGAGATCATGCCATTGCACTCCAGTCTGGGTAACAACTGTGAAACTCCGTCTCAAAAATAAAAATAAAAATAAAAAAATAAATAAAAATAAATAAAAATTTTAAAAGGAATAGGAGAGGGGGAAAGAGACCCATGCAGTGACTCCCATTGTGGAAACTTGAGTTGCTGTGATGGATGAGAAGGTGTGCATCTCTGAATCCTAATGATGGCTTGGCTCTCCAGCTCTGCCTCTCCTGGCCCCGCCCTCTTCTCAATGACTCTCTTCTGTGATGATCAGCATCTTGGACAAGCAGAGGCAGACAACAAACTCTGGGGCCCAGGACTACGAACTCCTGCTTTCTCAGCCAAGGACTCCCTAAGCTTTGCCTTCACCTTTGAGGAACCTGCCTTCATCTGCCTCTGAAATGTCCTGGGCAGTGGTAGAGACAGGCCAGTAAGATGAATAATTCTCTTCACCAAATGGTCCCCTCCAGACTAGCTTCCGTGTAAGACTCGGGAAATCCAGATTTTCATTTGTGGGGTCACATAAAGCAGGTCCCCCTGAGACCTCCCATCCTCGGGACACTCCTCTCTGGGCCCTTTTCTCTGGTACTCCCCTGATCCCCCAATCCAACCAAATAACCCTTTCATTTCAACAAGGGGTGGACCTTTGGCCTGTGGGGATCGCTGGCTACATTTGCTGACCATCTGCTATGTTCAGGGATCATTATACACATGATCTTTCGTCTGTCAACCAAGCTTCAGTAGGTATTATCACCCCACTTCATAAAAGACTTTTTTTTGGGAGACAGAATCTCGCTCTTTTGCCCAGGCTGGAGTGCAGTGGTACGATCTTGGCTCACTGCAACCTCCACCTCCTGGGTTTAAGCAATTCTCCTGCCTCAGGCTCTGGAGTAGCTGGAACTACAGGTGTGTGCCACCACACCCAGCTAATTTTTTATATTTTTAGTAAATATATTTTACTAAATATTAGTAAATATATTTAGTAATTTTTTTTATATTTTTAGACAGGGTTTCACTGTGTTAGGATGGTCTTGATCTCCTGACCTCGTGATCTGCCCACCTCAGCCTCCCAAAGTGCTGGGATTTACAGGCATGAGCCACCACAGCCGGCCAAAAAAAAGACGTTTAGTAAGTAGTGGCAGAGTCAATTCTCCAACCAAGTCCAGAGAAGGTTCCTAATATTTACGCTGATATTTACATTGGGAAGAGTCCGAGGTTTGACTGTCACCCAGGCTGGAGTACAGTGAGGCGATCTGCAACCTCAAACTCCTGGGCTCTAGCAATCCTTCCACCCCAGCCTCCCAAGTAGCTAAGGAATACAGGTGCATGCCACCACTCCTGGCTAATTTTTTATTTTTTTTGCAGAGACAGGGTCTCACTATATTGCCTAGGCTTGTGTTCACTTCCTAGCCTCAAGCAGTCCTCCCAACTTGGTCTCCCAAAGCGCTGGGATTACAGGCATGAGCCACTGCATCCAGCTGATTTGTGGCTGTTTCAGTTACCTGCGGTGTGACTTTTGGTATGATAATTGACCTCTCTGAGCTATTTTCCCCCTGTAAGAAAGATGGGGCTGCAAATCCTACAGTCCTAGGATAGTTGTAAGGATTAAATGAGATAACAAATGTGAGGCTGGGCGCGGTGGCTCACATCTGTAATTCCAACACTTTGGGAGGCTGAGGTGGGTAGATCACCTGAGGTCAGGAGTTTGAGACCTGGCTGACCAATATGGTGAAACCCTGTCTCTACTAAAAATACAAAAATTAGCTAGGCGCAATGGTGCATGCCTGTGGTCTCAGCTACTCGGGAGGCTGAGGCTGGAGGATTGCTTAAGCCCAGGAGTAAGCTATGCCGATTGGGTGTCCACACTAAGTTCAGCATCAATATAGTGACCTCCTGGGAGTGGGGGACCACCAGGTTGCCTAAGGAGGGGTGAACCGGCCCACGTCGGAAATGGAGCAGGTCAAAACTCCCGTGCTGATCAGTAGTGGGATCGAGCCTGTGAATAGCCACTGCACTCCAGCCTGGGCAACATAGCAAGGCCCCGTCTCTTAAAGTAAATAAATAAATAAATAAATAAGAAAATTAGCCATGTATGGTGGCGCACGCATGTAGTCCCAGCTGCTCAGGAGGGAGGCTGAGGCAGGAGAATCGCGTGAACCTGGGAGGCGGAGATTGCGGTGAGCCAAGATCATGCCACTGCACTCCAGCCTGGAGACAGAGTGAGAGTCCTTCTCACATAAATAAATAGAAAATAAAAATAAATAAATAGAGTAAAGAAATGTAAAGTGCTTAGCACAGGACCTGGCTCAATCAGTGCTGCATCCCTTCTTCCTCTACTTCTCTGTCCATTTAATGTGTGAGGAGGTTAATTCCTGTCTTGATCTGCTGATGTTTCCATTCAGTCATTTAGTGATCTCCTACTGCCACGCCCTGTGCTGGGCTGAGGGAGTGCAGGACTGAACACCGTAAAGTCTCTGCTCTCCTGGACCTCACAGGGTGGAGAGAATCAAACAAATAATGTGTTGAACAAACAGATAATGCAAATAAGGATGTAATTACAATCTGTGATGAGTGCCATGAAAGAGACCTACGAGGTAACGTGAAAAAATTAAGAGGGGAGGCCGGGCACGGTGGCTCACACCTATAATCCCAGCACTTTGGGAGGACGAGGTGGGTGGATCACGAGGTCAAGAGATCGAGACCATCCTGGTCAACAAGGTGAAACCCCATCTCTACTAAAAATACAAAAATTAGCTGGGTATGCTGGTGCGCGCCTATAATCCCAGCTACTCGGGAGGCTGAGGCAGGAAAATTGCTTGAACCCAGAAGGCGGAGGTTGTGGTGAGCCGAGATCGTGCCATTGCACTCCAGTCTGGGTAACAACATCGAGACTCCATCTCAAAAAAAAAAAAAAAAAAATTGGGAGCCTTCTTTAGATTTGGGGTGAGGAAAGTTCTCTTTGAGGAATCAACTTTTAGGCTGACACCTGTTACAGGCAGAATTCCAAGACGGTCCCCAAAATTCCCAGCCTCTGGCCTGCAGGTGTTCTGCTAGA